CAGCAGCGTCGGGACGGCTTTCCGAGCTAACGAAGGATCGATTAGATTGATATTGGTCACTGGTTGATGTTTTAAAACGGTTTCGAGTTTGAAGTCTGATGCTTGCGTTCGCTCTTTCAAACGGCTGGTGACCGCTTCGAGTATAGAGGAGGCACTTGTTTGTCTAAACCCAATTTCTAGCTTCGATCATACGATATCTTTTAATAATCGAGTATTCCGAAGTTTAGCGGGCGAACACGTGATTTCTGTATTACTATAGGAATAGGAGTTCTCGAATTATTATTGGTCTACGTTCGAAAATAGGCGCCACTCAGTGCTATGAAAACGGTCATTTAATTGTTACCACTTGACTCTTTAAACGATTTTAAATTACTTTTATCAAACTAAGCGGAACACGGCTTAGATATAGACATGACTCTTCATGTCACGGTCGTATTTGATTTCGAACAATAATAGAACGGTGGAATCGTATAAAAACGAGCCAGACAGCTTATTTGTATTTTTCGCTAATGCGTCAATAATTGTTGTCCTAACTCTCTTCTTTAATATATAATGGTTCCGCTGAAAAAATTTCTATTTAAGATATGGATGAGCAATGTGTCTTATTATAATACATACTGCTTACAAGGATATTTGTTGTTTTATCTGTTCTTAAATATGCCATTGCAAAATTTACAGCCTTCTAAATGAGACATGATTGCATATACTTCCGAAGATCTATTTTCAAACTACTTTTTGTTATACATTGGATATTATATGCAGGCTGTCTTGGCCACCTAATCTTTCTTGAGAAGCGAAGATCCTTGGTTCAAAACACACAATCGACACGTATTATATCCATATAAAAATATGTTATAAAAAGAAAAATCGCCAAAAAAAGATAGTGCAAATAACTCCACCTAACGGAGCTACTACAAGTGCAGCCATCTTATTTGTTTTGAAGTAACCTTTTTTTTTTAACTATCTCTGATAAAAATCGTAGAATTCTTGGTCAAGCCCAGTAACGGCTCAGAAATGTATTGAAAAAATATGATATGTGACAAAGAAAATAAAGGCAGGTTTGCGCTGATTATATCTAGGCTTTGCTAAATTAATATTTATCAAGTTCTTTCTTTCTTATTACATATATTTATTCTGAATGCAACTCTCGCCAGCAGCAGTAGAGTCATTTGTACGACATTGTTAAGAAGTCAAAGCTTCCGGTACCTAATTACCACGTAATTATAGCTTCGGCATTGGAAGTGGCGATAATAAGCACTCTTTTCAACAGTCTATCGAATAACCCGTAAAACTTTGTATCGTTTGAAAAATACCTCGAAAATACAATTGTTTTTCTTACTTCCCATTTAAATGTCATTCGATCGCAGTGATGCTTCACACTGTTTGTTGGTATCATCGAGAAAAAAATCAATTTTTGTGCACACGATTGTTATCTTTATAGGTATCAAAAAGTGTACCACCTATATGATCAGCCCTGCATCGTAAACCTACAATTGGCAAATCGTAGGTTTATAATTGCTGCTTAATTAAATCTGAAATAAGCGATACGATGATAAAGCCATTATGTTTTATTTGATTTTTGCCTTTACGCTTTCCTTTGCTTTTCGAAATTACCTTAGCCGTCATCTGTATAGTACTAAAACGATATCTGCCTGCGCGTAGCGCCAACCACTGTCAAGCTGCTACTGTTTCCACCAGTAGGGTAAAGAGGGCTGTTAAAAAGAGAAGGTTGTTGACTCGATAGGCAACCCAAAACGGAACCAAGCCCACATGGGTTGACCTAGCCGTCTTCAACCCGGAGTCCGAGTGGTTAAGCTGGCAAAGCTTAGCAACAACCCCTACGTCACCCAGTTGTTCTGCGGTGGCAACGGCAAATTTGCCGGTCGCCGCTTCCACTGCAGCGGTTTCTGTATTCTGTAGCGTTCCTGATCGGTTCGTGTGTCTGAACTATCGCCGTCCTCCAGTCCGCTTTTATTGGGGACTATCGCTGCTTTGTGGCGTACAGCCTCCTCGCAGGCGTGATCGATTTTCGAAACAACTAGCAACAGTGCTAATAATGGCATGCTTAGCTGCAGACATTGCGCGAAAAAGTCTTCCGGAAAAGAAGCAATTGTCGCAAGAAAACTAATCATAAACTGACCAATAAGGGAGGGTAATGTAACACATATCCGAAGCTGAAGATGACTATGAGCTGGTCCAGAGAAATGGTGCCGGAAAATTCTAAGCTAAAAGTTCGAATTAGCATTGCATTAGGAGTTGTCTCATAAAAATAAGCTGATAAATCAGAAATCATTATGGTGACCAATGAATACGAAAATTAGTTTCGTTGTCGTACTAGAGGTCTCTTAAAATTGATTCTTATCTGAGTAGCAAACTTGCAATAACTTGCTAGGACCTTTTCACGGATTTCAGCCTCAATAAATACTTAAAGAATTTCTAGAATAATAGTAATTTGGCTTCATGGCAAATAAAATAACAGTTATATGAAGGATCGAGTGATATAGCTATGCTTTCGAACTCGCTTAATTATTACACTTTTAACTAACAGAGTTTTGTCCTCGCCAAAAAACCTTAGAATTTTTGAAATAGACAAACGATGGCATGAAAAAATGCGTTGCAAAATGCCAAAGGCTCAGCCAAGCGTATATTTTTAAAAATAAAGAATTACTTATTTCACTTCTGTTTACTTGTGAAATATTCATTCACACATAACAGATCAATTTATTACACTAACTTAGTGGCAAATTTTACGAAATATAGAAATATGCTTAGTAAGTTAAACATTGAATTGAGATAAACGATGGTAGGGCGCCTTCGAGGGCAAGATACGGATAGATCGTTTTCGACGATATGTTCACGAACTACTATGTATTTATCTTTAGCGCGATACCTAATATTACCTTGAGTCGTACGCCCTACCCGAACGCCTCTGCCAAAATTACGTAGTAAACTAATATTTTATACGCTTCGTATAAATAGAAAGAAGGAGAGCTGAAAGGTGAACAGTAAGCAGTTAGAGAAAAACGAAATGTGTACAATATGTATGTGTAAAAATAACCTCGTAATAACCGAGTGGACAACTCGTTTGTCTCCTAACGATGAAAACACGTAGTCGTCTAGGCTCAAATCTGAGTGGGAATATATTTTGCTTCATGTTAAGTGCCAGCCATTAGAAGCATGCCTAAGTATCAAATGTAAAATAGATGACTACTTATCTGTTAGGTAACTTATATTGATTTAGAAAATGACAGGAACAAGTATCAACAGCTACAACTATATATATGTTGCAAATGCTACTGAAGTAAATAATTCACTACAAAGTTTATGCAGGGAAACTCCCAAGTCCATTCCGTTCGTCAGGTGTTCTTGTGCTAAGTGCAAAATTCTAGCCATAAATACATGGAAAATGTGTTCCACATGCATTTCTCGACACAAGATGTCATTGGCATGACATGGTTATACAGTTACGTTTAATCACTCTTACCAGGCTTCAGCGAAGGCACAAGCAAGTTAATCATAAGTATAGTATTAAGTTCACTTGCTGGCTATTAAAATAAGCATGTCGCAAACATTTAGAAAAACTAAATTTAAATTTGAGAATTTTTAGGAACGGATAAGCATACGACACTATTGAGACGTCCAGGAGGATTAGGCAGGTAGAAGCACGATCGAATCTCTGGTGACCGCTTAGCAAATGATTAAAATAGAAAAAAAAAAAAAAATTGTGTAGCCAATTAGCGTCAACTGATAGGAACAAATGTCATAACCATCGCATCATCTCACAGACTTTTAAGTAAATAGTTGTCGGTTAACAAATTCAAGCTCGTCAACGTAATTCATTTATTCGTATTCATTTATTAAGCACTACTCTGCGGCTAACCGCTGAGTACAATACTTATGTACAGAAAAATGAGAGACTGGGTATTATTTATTCTGTCTCTGTACGTTTTAAAGTCTTTTTAGGTAGTGGTGGATATCATACCTATACACTGCTTTATTACTTACTCACACCTGTCTTGTGGTATAATTCGCGAAATTTAAACCACATTTGTCCCTCAGGGCATATACAACTTAAAACTATTATCTCGATAATAAATAATTACACCTAAAAACGAGTAATGCAAAATATATGTAGAAAACATAACTATATGTAAAAGGGTATTGTTATGTGCAAAGTATTAGAACATATTATAAACGAGGCCCTTTTGAATATTTACCGAAATCGACAAAAAACAGAGCGTTTCGGGGCAATTTACGGTGAGGTATCTAAACCGGGCTTACATGTAACGCATAGTTGAAAGGCTGATATAAATAACATAGTAGAGAAAACATGTGTGGATCTACATAAATTTCGAAACTCGAAACACGTTAAAACAAAACAAATTTATATAGTTAATGCAATATATAACCCAATAAACGGGTTTGTTTTTTCTGGTTATGAACCCAGGGAGTACCAACGCACGACTTAACCTTGTAACGGTTGCAAAATTCAGCTTGCCAACATGTTAATAGAATGGAGCCAATTTATCCAGAATGTAAACGTTTATCAATTAAATGGCTACCGCAAAATACGCAATTAACTTTCAGTAGTTGTATAGGTACCAAGTGGTTTTAGCTCTTAGACAAAAAAAAAAAAAAAAAAGTTTATTTGGGACTCTTATTATTTTTTAACGCTCTTATGACAAAGTATATATATATAAATCCTGAAAAATTTGAGCGTTTCAACAGAAGGAATACAAATTTATATGCGGAATAGTAGTACTATGTTTACAGGAGATTACCAAATATGTTGCCAGCACTTTGACGGAAATTCGGAACCGAGTTTAGTCGTTGTCACCAATACGATGCCTTTAGTTAAAATATATGAAACTCGACCACAATCATTAAGACGACGGCATTCCATTCAACACAAAGACAAAATTGTGTGAGGAAAACAAGATGATGGATTGGCTACCATTCCTATAAAGACTACTAGTAAATTATCAATTGAGTACTTTTAGGTTTCGTCTTGGCTACATCAATGGAACCCACGTAATTTCGCCGATCCTGCCCCCAGTATTCAAAATGCCCGGCGGAAGCTGTCCGTCTCCAGTGCCCCCGCGGCCACTGTCCCCTTCGGCTAAGGTACAGGAACGGGCTTAGAAAAATAAAGTGGTGCTTTTGGCATCAATCTTACTGATCTTTTTACGGATATGTTCCCCGCTATAGTTTTTTGCGAAAAAGCAAACGTTCGAATACAACAGAGATAGTATTGCGTATCTAAGGTCTCCGAGATGGGTTTGTCAGCATTGCAAAAAAAAATTGAAATCCTACTAGAAATACGCAAGATGACATGTGTATGAACATGCAAATACGTGTAAATAAAGTGAGATAATTATTCTATAAGGATTAAGTCTGATTAGCTTAGAATTCTGCAAACTAACATGGTTATTGCTACACTTCTGTGTCGAGACAGAAAGAATTAAATGGTGGTTTGGAACGAGGCCTGGTCCTTCTTGTGTTGATCTTGACCGTTCTCTGTGGACTCATTCTTCTATTGCTCATCAGGGCATCGCATATGGAAGCTTACATAGCCCAACGACAGAGTGAATTAAAAGACACGACTTCGATTCCATCTATCTTTGAATCAACTATAGCACGAACCGGCAGGGGCGAACGCCATGGTAAGCAAATATCCATTAACTTACATTTAGTTCTAATAAGGCGCCTCATTTATAAAATTACAACATGCGACGTGTTTCAAGAAAAAGTTCCTTCGAAGACACCGTATAATAGACGTTAACATCAGCAATATGTTTGTATGTCTAATCTATAGTAGTAATAGTAACTATTACTATTAATGAGGATCCGAAGCGCGATTAAATTATGTGAGATAGCGAAGATGATATATTATATCTGGATCAATCGTCACTTGGAGTGAGATAGAAAAGGTAGTCATTGCCATTTACCAAACAGTCGAATCCTTGTCATGCATATTATATTGCTGTCAGCTTTATGACCTGACGCCATAATGTTTATCTAATAAAAAACTAATATAGTCTCGGATAGATATTGTCTCGGCACGTGTTCAGCGTTCTGTGGGATCTATTTGCATAGATCAGTATTTCTTAAGTCATTCATTCCCTTCATCAAATAAAAATTTTGAGGGTTTATCGGCGCACCAGCTACGGGATACAAATGTATCTCTTCGATTCTTTTTTACTGCCCCATTACGCCTCTGAGCTTCCTTCTTTTCTATGACATATCAGTTTTATATAAACATATTATTCGAAGGCTTATTAAAAACAATTCATTACTGTTTTCTCCATCGTAAATATTCCTTTAATTTACAGCATAATACTTACGTATTCGTAATTTTCTCACTTTAGATATCATCTTCTTTTTTCAGCTCATACAACGCGAAGTACCTAAAATCTTCTGGTTAAATTAATTTCTTGTTCCCATCATGTTGCTGTAACAACGTGTTTATCTTCTAAACCAACGGATATGCCACACAGTCTAGGTTCGTCTAAGGCAGATACACTTTTATTCGTGATAGGGAACAGCTGTCTAAAGCAATCCTTAACTGTAATAGCTGATGAAAAACTTGAAGATTGAATTGAATTTATCGGTTTTTCGAATTGATCTCCATTTTTATACGTACTATCCAATGTAGGTGACTCTCTTCAGTTAATGTACGCAACGCAACGGATTTCGATCTGGTTCATCACTGTCTTACCACAGCCTCAAGGCCAATGTGACGTTTACTCGTATTCAGCCTTGCCATACTAATGCGTCATAGTCGTCGATTTTTTAATTCCTCCACTTTTGTTAAAGCTTCACTTTTTTACATCGTTCAACGTAAGCGGCTTTAAGAAGCAGCAGGTCCAAAGCGCTGACTGCAAATTACGATTTTTGTTCGAAAGGTACAATCTCAAACAGGAAGCGAATTTGACCACTTTTATCCATTGAAAAGGAACGCACAGTTGGAATAAAATAGGACCAGTTTTCAACTTCCGATGACCTCGAATGTGGGTCCACGCAACTTCCGATAGTTTCAAATCCATTAATTAATTTACTAAAAACACTATTGTCTGGTCTTAAAAGAGCGATTTTGATATTTGTCTCTAACGGCCAGTTTATAGTAGCATTCAGGTTCGGGGTGCAGCCAAATTCTAGGAACAGATATTCGCTCTGTTCATATATGAGAATTCTAGCCGCCATTGGAACTCGGCCAACTATTTTGTACTGAAGTGCACTATACTCAGTTTTTTTTGACGCGGCATTTTTTAAAAGTAGGCATTTTAAATCGAACGTAAATATCGTACTACGCGTAAAAAACAAATTGATTTTTTGATTTTTATGACTAGGCATGATATGCTTTATTGCACTCTCTGTCTGTGTGGTGGCTTCGAGAACTTGTGCATGGCTTTCATCCATTGTCACGTTCACAAGTGGCTGTCGATCGAGAGTTTTACTAATATTGTCAGGTCTCGTATAAAATTTTTCGTGCACTTCACTAGCTTTCGTCCTTGACTGGGCCAAAGTTGAATCAATGACACTTTTAAAATTCCTGATTTGTATCCGTTGCCGATCTCCTCGTGTGACATAGAGTATTGCAAACGTGGATACGACCAACAGTAAGACGACGGCCGCGCCGCACATAATTCCACATGTTAAGATACGTCTGCTGGAAGGCTCTGTAATAGTGCTCACACGGGGCGAGATAGGATCCTCGACGACGTTTAGAGATTCGTTACTCTCTGCTCGCTGCAATTCACTGGAATTTGTTGTTGAATCCCATTGCTTCAAACTGAAAGCCATCATGAACTGAAACGGGCGCCGACCGCTCTTAGGCAGTCGTTTCCAGCCTGATAGGTAGCAGTCCGCTAATATCTAACGTCTGAGCATTCACGATTCGCCCCCTAAGCCACCAGTGGATACGTCGTTGTGTAAAGGCCGCTGCTGAACTAATACAGAACGTACAACCGATACGATACAGATGCAAAGACTGAACAGTTTCCGGATAGCGAATAGTATCAGTGAAAAGTGAAAACAAACACTAATAAAAAAACGTCGCCAGTTCGACCTTTTAGGCAACGCCAAAACTGGGCCGCACTTAGTACGCTCTACAAATGCATAATTGTATATACAGAACATTGGGCCCAGAACCAGGAATATTGCCATTATCCTTTAGTCTATTATAGTCAGTAATACGCTATATTTCATTCATTACAGACTTGAATAAACAAAACGGAAAATGTACCGTTTAGATATCTTTCGACGACATATGTAACACTGTCCGCATATGACATGACTTACTGCACGCTGCAACCTAACTCTACACAAGGTGTTTTCTCGTTACCAGAAAAAAGCTAAAACTACAATGTCGAAAGAAATAAATGCAAATCCCTTTGCTCGTTTATGTTATACGACAATTGATTAATAATAGTCTGATCCGACATGTCAGAAGCCCGAATCAATACGACAATCAAATATATGGGTGTTAATACGCTCCATGCAAAGTCAACAATTTTTTTACCGTTACCCTAACGAACATGCTGTCTCCAAAGGAACCATCGCGATAAGTATGAACCATACTAGCATCCGACCATTGATCTGTCTTTATGGGTATTAATTTGTCAGGAGAGAACTCGTCCTTTCGTACGACAGAACTGTGCTTGAGCCCTGAATGCATTTACGCGTCGTCGTCAATATTGCGTTCAATTGATCCGTCTGTCGATCCGTGCCAGGATTTCTATCAATTTGCGTGTGGCCGCTGGCCGATTCATCATCCATTAAGGCCAGACACAAGCAATTTGGATACTTTAACATTGCTAAAAAATGATATGCGTCAAGTTTTTAAAGGTATGAGTATTATTTTCTATTTTTTGCTTATTCTACCAAATTAGTCAAATAGTCAAGTGTTAACAGAGGTTCGAATGGCGAAATAATAACAAGATTTTATTGTTTAGGCTTAAAGCAGGGCCTAGCGTCCATAAGCTAACAAAAAAAAAAACTCTTTGTCAACTACTTTACTATCTAAATAATTGTATAAGTACCGAGCCGCTAGTCACACTTTTAGATTTTGAACTGTAGGCTCACTCCAGACTCGATACTGGGTCTCAACTGGCAATTTTTTGGTATACGTGTCCATATGCTAGCTACAAGAGTTTCCATTGTATTATATCGATAATAGTAGCCACCCTCATATGGAGGTACAAGTAAGCATTGCAGGTTTCATTTTTAAGAACTATCGATAATAGTAGCCACCCTCATATGGAGGTACAAGTAAGCATTGCAGGTTTCATTTTTAAGAACTAACTGGTGTTGCTGACCCTCGCAGAACTCCTCGAGGCTCCTATGACCAAAGATGATAGTAGTTCCACAACCCAAGCCAAACTGCTGTACAAATCTTGCATGAATGAGAGTAAGTGTCAGGTGTAAATTGTATAATATTCAAATAAGGAACATTTTCAGCCTAAAGTAAGATATTTGGTCACAATGGAGTTATTGCTTTGGATGGGCGCTTGCTATTGAATGTGTCTAAGTGATACAAAGTGCCGAAATTGATTACCCAATTATACGCATAACGACAGTATAACTGTTTCTAAATACCGGTATAATGACTAACAATATACCGCAGAAAAATTGTATTGATTAGTTTATAAGTTTCGCTCCTAAGCTGATCTGTGCACTGATGTATTTTAATCCGATCAAGTTGAATTTCAGCTACTGCCGAAAGGCTACGAGAAAAGCCCTTGTTGTCACTCCTTGAGCGTCTGGGACTTCGATGGCCATTGGTTGACCCTTTGCAATATACAACAGAAAATGAATTGAATAACACATCTTCAGAGTCTCCCTATATCTCGTTACCAACTTCGAACAAGCGCAGATCTCTACCTGATCGAAGTTTAAATGAGAACTTTCTCAACACGTTTGATTGGCACCGATCTCTCGGTTATCTCCGCCAGATGAAACTCGAGACCTTTTTTATGATTTTCTCGCAGGCTGATCAGCAGAACTCTTCCGCGACGATCCTTCAGGTGAAGTTGTAATTACAGTACGGTTGTGTCCTTTTTTTTTTTTTTTTGCTGTTCGGGGTTATGAGCCCTTCAAACAATTTGATATATATATGTAAAAATATAATTGCATAAAAGCCGTTTTTGTGTGAATGTGGACATAGGTAATTCTCAAGGTATGGGCGAACTCAGATGGTGCATAATCACTTACGTCAGTGCTGTACATGATGTATAAACTTTTCAGATTGACCAGAATGAGCCATCAGTGCCATACGTAGACCTTAATTCGGCAAGAGGGCGGCGCCAGATCAAGGTCAGAGTAGCTTTAAAAAAAGCTTTTCGAGAAATAAACTTAAAACGCAAAGCTATTGGTTATATTGTCGTTTAACCGTTATGTGTATATTGCTAACCACAGATGAACTACTTATTATCCGTCTGTACAACCATTTCCAATGGCGGCCCATTTTGTCTGACAATACCCTTTTGCGAAATCACTTTATAGTACGCTTTACTAAATAATGTGACGGGAGACCAAAGCATGGTTGCATGTTGGCAAATATGAAGCGGCACAGAAAAAAGGCTAAAAAGAAAAAAAAACTATTAATTGAATCGTATGATTTCAGGCTTACCATACAACAATGGTGTTAGCTGCGGAGCTGCTAGGAGCTAATCGGACGCAAGCCGTCGTCGACATGAAAGACGTTGTCATATTTGAACTGCGCATGCGTACGGTATGCCGCTACCACCCGAGCTCGAGCTTTAGGCAGTAACCGGTATAATCAACCACCAGCTCGTATCGTGGAGTCGAGCGAATTGCTAATTCCACGATCCATGTTTATTAGAACCGTTTGTTGAGAAACACGTTGACCGATTTGGTTGGCATTTCGCTACAGCCCAACAACGTTGACTGCCTACACTGACAAGACGTCACCGCTTATTTTTTTAATACCTTCGGCTATATTTACTGCGTGAACAAGTATTCAATATCACTTTAGTAATCGCCAGTCCTCAGGTTCATCATCTTTCTCTCACTAGAAAGTCTAATCGAGGTGGGTCTTGCCGAACTCCCTTGGGGTTTCTCCAGCATACTGAGAACACGGCATGGTAACTGTCTACCAACTCGAACCAGCAATGACCCTATATTCAAACTTACCATTGCAACGAGCGCAAAGGGATATGCATAAGCCGCCTAGATTGCATCGCCCCTCACCGACAAGGTTACCTGCATTTAATAGCCACCATGTAATGATTTAAACAGAATCGTAGTAAATTGTGGACCCTATTTGGCGCTAGCATGACTAGCACTAGCTTTGCAGAAGCAGCTGGAAATCGTTGTTTTTTCGAGGTATATGTATGGTCGTAGCACTTCGTGACTCAAATTTATGATGATGCGAATACTCGATCCGCTTTCTACTTACTCGTTCAAAATTTAGTCGCCAACTATTACAGGTTACGTTACAAGTGCTTAGAAACATAGTATACAAAATGGCCAAAAAAGTCGTGTGGAAGCATGGATGTGTATATTTCACTGTGGAAATCCGTTGTTACTCGGGAATGCACGGCCGCTAAAGTGTGGTTATCGCCGTGATGGACTAAGCATTTTTTCAGAAACTTCTGTGCTTGTTTTTAGTTCATGTACACTTCGTCATAAGTAAAATACATTTTCCTATTAGTTCATGGAGCCAAGTGAAGAACGACGCAACTTCACGGCTATCAACCACCGTATGACACTGGGCCAGCTGGACGCATTCGTTCCGCACCTACGTATCAGAAAGCTCTCGTCAGTCGTTTTTCAAAAGTAAGCCATCTATTCCTTTTATACCTTACGTACGATATTGAACTTACGCAGGGAATTAGATCTGCTATAATATGAAACTTCTTTTTTCCCCTCTAGCTTCATTCACTCATCGCATTACGTAATGTTATAGAGAGGCACTCAATAAAATTAGGCTATTTATAGCAGTGTTTAGATTCTTATATTGCGTATGTATGTTAGTTGTTGTAATTGGTTCTGCATTGTAAAAAACATGTTTTTCCATATCTATAGAATGTAGGTTTCCGCTTCTGTTTACAATTCTAATTGTGTATCAATGGAAGACACTTTTTTGAAACAAAAGGATTTTTTCTATTTACGAAGTATGAACGGAGCGACTGTTTAGATTGGGAAGGTTCAGTGGTGGGCTAGAATTCGGCGTTCTAGGCTGCTGGGCGGCACCGCTACCACTAGTCCATCCCCGAAAGTACTTGCGTTAAATTCAAGTAATAATGGCACTTGCAGACAGTTTGACCCGGATGAACGGCTTGTAGTCTATGCGCCAAACTACCTGAAAAAGCTGAATGAGCTTTTAAAGTCAACACCAAAGAAGTGAGTAGCTTAAATTTTACATCACCTTTACAACCCTATAAAGCGAGACACACTACAAGTGTGTCTCGCTTTATAGTAGAGTCCATTCGCAGCCTCGTATATCGTATGTATATCAGCATCGTAATAGTGGTTTAATATCTAGCAACACTGAAGCATTGATTTAAGTTTTAGTTCTACATTATTTATTTCAATGGACATGTCTTTTATGGACATACAAATAATCGGTACGTCAGTATACCTTAAACTATTCTAGATCTTGAAATAACCTAAGACCCTAACCCCGCAGACTTTGCGTCCGTTCTAGAGGACATAAAATGTTCTGCAAGGACTGTTCCTTGTAAACAGGCACAGGTTGACCAGAAAACTGTATCTGACAATCAGATCCATACGTAATTATTGAAAATACTAACTTTATTAATAATATTTTTTTAAGAATTTAATTCTACTACATGTATGGATAGTAAAGAAGATTGTAAAGCTAACAGTGGGCTAAGCCTTAACTAGGTTCAGAGTTTGCATTCCGAGACTTAGATAGTAAGAGTTAACTAACAAATTCACCAGTATTGGCCAAACTCGAAATTTGCGAAGACATCTTCAAAGCGTTATTGAAGCTACAAATTCCACGAAAAAGTTCTTTTATTCGTCAGATTACTTCATAAAGAGATACACCTTGAGGCACCGCTTGGTCATTTACAACGGAGCGTCGTCTGAATCAATACGGCCAGACACTACCGTCATTACTGTGCGTGCCGCTCAAGATGTGAAATGCGTACCACCTTACTACATAATAGGCAGTGAAAATATCGATGTACAACATTACTGTAGAATATACCGAATAAATAACCGAAACTCGACTATTTGACAGAACCAATATTTAGATACATTTTTGAAAATCGCACACAGTTTCAAAAGCGAATGTCTTCAGACAGTGTGCTGGTCGTAATAAATATTTTCATAGGACAGTGGCTAACTACATGGGCTGGAGAGTCGTGTACACGTTAATGAACTTCATGGATAAACGTTTCGTGACTCTGCGGCAGCGTTACGCCAATATTCTCGCAGGTAATAACATGTAGAGTTCTGAAACGTCTTCAAGGTAATAAGGCGCTGAGTTCCGCTTAAGTGCACCTTGGTCGTGCATACCGTCAATCAGGTCAACTAAACGCCATTTTCTTTCTGCTCAAATGATCACACAGACTTGTGTTGTATTTAAAATTGGTGGGGTTTGTATGAAGCAATGTGACAAAAGATAAAATCGTGGTAGAAATCTAGCGAACAATAAAGCAACATAACAATATGGTCCTCGGCACCTGGCATCATAGTAGTTACGTTTTAACCAATTTGTCCGTGCGAAGTTGTGAATTCTAAAATCTTTCAAGTTTCACGTCCCGTACCACCCTTCGGCAAGTTATCACACGGCTGGCTCTCAACATCAAGCGAAGTGTATAGACGATAAGATTCAAATTCAGACCGCTACGTATTCCTGAAATTTAGCAGATACACACAGTGCCCAATAAGCTGTCACCGGGACAGTCAGATGTTTACTAATGCGTATCTAGCATTTATTCTTGTCAGGCGTTACTCAAAAGCATAGAATTTTCCTTCGAAATAGTCATTTTAGCCAAGGGGAAGTTCACGGCGGAGCAAAGGATAAAGGTTCAACTCGTACGTTCCAAAATGCTAAAGAAACTTTGAAAGATTAGTTACGTTATCGTGTTAGTACGTGTCATTGCCCTCTACAATATTTGATTTTGCTACTTTCGAGTTCCTTTTGGTGCTATCAGTCTTCAACGATATCAGAGCTATTTGAAATACACAACGCCCATCGCCTATCGCCAGCGTTCGCGATTTTTGCATCAGTTTGCTTAGGGCGTTCCGTAAATATGTTTGATACGCACATCTGCGAGCGTTAGAACTTTTACGAATGTAAAATAGCTGAAGCTGGCTGTCAAATGCACCTGCGGGCTTCCGAGTGTAGTCAAGGATACCTAACTGCTGCCCAGAAACCTTAAACGAGGTTTTCTCAAAATCAGTTAAAAAAAAAAACTGTACATCGTAAATGGGTTTCTGCAATGTATTTAGAAAGAAACTAAAAATAAACTATTATGATGCGTGATGCAAAGGATTGTTTTCGTTGGAATTATTAGATAATCTGGTTCCTTTGTAAGCTATTGGTAACAGATGTCGTCACAATGTCGTCGTTGATATGAGTTCCTGACTTAGTGATTCTATTCAATACTTGAAAGCGCTTTCATGTTAGTGAAATAAATAAATAGAAATAAATTTAAGGGGAGGGGGTAGAGTTTCTGAAAATAAGACGTAATCTCAGCCTGCTTTTCTCAGTCTTAAACAAAAACGTTGCTTAGGTTCGCGAAAATTACATTAAAAATGTAGTGCTGACCGATATCGTAGTGGATGAACAATAATCGTATAATTAAGTGGGTACTGTCGTTCAAGGCCCGAACATGCCGAAAAACGGCGCAAAGTTGAACTGGTTGACGGTTTATAGAACATACTTGAAAATCGACTTTTTGCTTGGACTGGTATCATATTGAAATCCAGCTATGTCTACGTAAAATAAAGTTTTATGCCAAAACTGAACAAACAGAATTAGTAGATGATTGAAAATAGAAAAAGAAGCATACATTTGTCTTCATTTGGTTTTTTAATGTGAGAAAACCCCGGCTTAAAGTAGTGGAACTCACACTATATATAAAAACGTTACCTTATGAAATGCACCCTAATTATTCATTTTATCCCTTAAAGCATCAGGACGAAGTTAGGCAAATGCCAGAATATTTTAGCTCTTATGTAAAATATAGAAAACATAGCGCACGTAAAGGTTGCAAACGCCCTAATATAACCTTAGGAACAAGTCATCCGATTCCACGGTGGCGCCTCTGCGTGACTCTCGTAAACCTCAACCTGGGCATGGTAACGGGAGCTATGTTCGTGACGAATCACTACACAGCCTTCATGAAATCCTCGGTAAGGGAGAACTGCTGACAAATGTCATAATATGCCGTTTAAAATTACACTTTTTTTAGGAAACACATACAATTCCCACTAACCGAGAACACGCGCTTTAAAGCAAATAGCAACGGGTGCTGTAAAAAAAAGTCCAGTAGAAAGTTGTGTGGGAATATCTATTGTTCAGGAATATAAGGCCTCAGTTTTTTTGACTCCATACAGAAGAACTCGATTAGCTGCAGTCTCGTATTTGCAGCCTCGTCTAGAAAGTTGAACGTTGGAAATAGGAACTTTACATCTAAAAAGAACGGTACATGCTAAGGCACGATGTTCATTTATGCTGACTATTTTAACCGAAATCATACAGAAAAATACAATTTATTTTAATTAAAAGAATAAACGTCTTTTAAAGATACGCGTACGCGACGCTCGATCTTTAAGAAAAAGAGCAACGAACTGTTCTATTAAACGCAACAATCCTATTCATCTAAGGCTGAGTCTATGATACGAGACATTCGAACAGCATTTCTGAAACAATTGGATGACCTCGACTGGATGGATAGCAAAACCAAAGCTGCCGCAAGGCATAAGGCAATTAGCATGCGATACAAGGTCGCCTACCCTGAAGAAATATTAGATCAGAACTGGCTCGATAAGGAACACCAGGTAAGAAATATAATGGGCTAGTTTAGAAGAACCTATCAAAAATTCCTCGAATCTGAGTTCAATTATTGTTGTTGTAGAATTTGTTTATTTTTGCTATTCTTAGTACTTAATAGTTAATGTTGCTTTCAATGGCTGTATGTTGATACTAAACAGTTTTTCACGTCGAGCACAGAGGTGGATCCTTCTTTCGCTCTAGATGTTTAACATAATAGCACGGAATGATCTTACGCATGATAAATCAGCACAATGCTAACTTATATCACAACGCCATTCATAATCAAACAAGAACAAACCACGGGTTATCGTTTCAGTTGAACTTCTCAGCGGATGATGTGTTTACTAACATCCTATTGGTAAGCCGGTTCCGCTATTCGAAGGAGCTTGAAAGATTTGGCAAGCCCAATGACCTCAAACGCTGGATAATGAACCCTGGAACTGTGAATGCTTTCTACACAAGAACTGGTAAAAATAGATGTTAATGTTAACCAACCTATTTTTTAACAGAAATACACGTTAACGGTACACAACTGGTGAAAGATTTTTTTTATCAAAACGGTGTTCTTCGGTGTGCTTTCGCATATCCTGTACGACGGACTCCTGTGCCATCAATACCTGTTTTACTGGTAGATGATTTCGTTTGAACCTATTTACTAATCAGCCGTTTCCCATTAGAAGCTAGTATCCATATATATATAAGACTAGTTGATAGCTCGGTTAAGCCTCTCAAACGCAAATTTATACCGTTTTAGAAAAAGAATTATTTTAACCGGCATCCAGTATTCCCCAGAGCAGTAGTAATACTCCACTGTTGCGTACCATATTCTGAAATCGACTACCACGTTCCACCTGGTACTACCTGCCTTGAATACATTGATACTCGCAAATATATCATTTTATTAGTAAACCCGACTTAACCTTTCAACAAACCATTGAAGCAGTTATGTGCTTGTACGATAAAAACCAATGTAATTTTCAGTAGCGAAGTCTTTTGTATAAAAAAATTGTGTACTACAAAAACCGCAACTACAAAGCTGGGGATATCAATTTGCCAACTGTACCCTTGTGGACTTGGATGGGCAATAAATTCACTGCTCAGTTTTCATAACATTTTTTTTGTCTCAAATAAACGCGGTCTTTGTGTCTTTTTGGAAATAATCGTATTCGTTCGCGTAATTTACTGGCCTCCTTCCAACCCTTGCATGCTTCTGCTCTGTGATCGAATCTATTTTAAAATCACAAATATGATTAAAAAATTATAAAATATACCCTACAAAGACTTCATCAAGTTTAGTCTTCGAAAAACTAAGACAAAAATAGCTCCAAAACTACTATGTGTAGATTTCCTTTGTGAAAATAGAAGTTTTTTTTAATTAAACTCAAAATAGTAGTTTATCGTTAATTCAGTGGATCTCTTAAGGTCGTGTACGAGCTAAAATGTTTAGCCTGCGAGGGCCCATAGCATCATTCAGTCTGAGAATGCCTGTTTTTTTTTTTGCCAACACTATGTTCTCTTCTGTTTAAGGTAACTTTATTACATTGCCCGCTGCCATTCTTCAACCACCAATGTTTCATCCGAGCTACCCAGCCGCGAAGAACTACGGCGGTATAGGAGTTGTCATCGGACACGAGATCACACATGGCTTCGACGATAAGGTCTGCAGCCACAGACGAGCTTTTGCTGTCACTCTTTTCTCTTGCGTAGTTTGCATTGATACAGATGAGGGATTTTGGAATCCTCACATCATAAGGTACTGCAGTGATGCATTTGCGAAATTGACGTTAAGAGTTCCTTTTATTTTGTACTTTGTGGGGACCTGAAAACAACTAGGGCCGACAGTTTAATGGATTAGGTAATCTTGCACAATGGTGGCAACCCGAAGCGTTGCGAAAGTTTTCGGATAAGGCCCGCTGCATGGTCGAGCAATATTCATCCTATAAGGTCCACGAGGTCGACATGAAAGTGAACGGATTCAAGACACAAGGCGAAAACATTGCAGATAACGGAGGACTTAAGCAAGCATATGCAGTGAGTAATTAAGCTCAGATACCGAAGCTTCACTAACGTTGCCCCAATAACCTGTACTTATAAGCAGCAAAAGATGTACATTTCGAGCTATAGCTATTATATGGCTGATTAGTTGATACAAAGTTGGCAGCAGCCGCAGCACCAAAGGACAACATCTGTGCAATCTATGCATATCAATAGATTTGAAAATATCGCGGCAAAATGCAACATTTATTCATGAACATAATGTAGATTTACAGGAACAATTAATGTGCCCCGACGGGTTGTTATCGGGAAATATTTTGGTGATTACCTAAGACATTTCTAAACTTGACGCTTGAAATATTGGGGTGCACGTTGCAACATTTGCCCTCCTGGTACCTGCTTTAGGCCTTTCGACAACGTCAGGCTGTCAGTGGATCTGCCCATATTCGCCTACCTGGAGTAAATTTCACCGATGACCAGCTATTCTTTGTCACATATGCACAGATCTGGTGTGGTGTTTCTACTCTGGAGCGTGCCATCAATGAAGTCCGGTTCAGTGATCACACAGCGCCAAAATACAGGTTCAATGTCTCATAACATCGATAGCATATGAGTTCTGTGAAAAGGTTCCGTTGATTCAACAGTACTCGTCATTTCAGACGGACACACTTTACAAAGTTTGCTAGAAAAAAGAAAAATAAAATATGGTGTACCAACATAAAGTATAACTAAGTAGGCAAAGAGTTAAAAATACAATATGATTTAGTGTTATAGGCTCTATAAATATATAACTGGACATGCCAGATCTTTTAAAGGAGAGTGTCATTCAACTGAAAAAAAGTCCAACATCAGAAAATGCGTTCAGACCCACGCAATCAAAATAATCTGGTTAATTTCAAGAACTAAACTTTTTCTCCTCCACAGAGTAATTGGCGTATTGTCTAACTCGGCCGAGTTCTCATCCGCGTTCAGATGCCCTACTACATCTCCAATGAACCCCACAAATAAGTGCAGTGTTTGGTAGAATTGACCCAAGTGAGCTAAAGTGAACCTCTAAATATTGGTGGATCATAAAGCTTAACGCTCCTGAACGGATAAAAACATAAACGTCATTTCATCGCCTCCAAGATCGTGTACGAGCACAAAAATATCAACCGGTTTTTCGTACAGTTTATTCTCGTTTCTTCACTTTATTATAGAGATTGCCGGTCAGAGTTAGTATTAATAACCATAGATTTTTCTCAAAGGCCATGGTCACGATGAGAAAGACAAGGTAGCAATGGCTAAAATTAGATTTTACAACAGCGACTTCAATCGAAATACAGAAGCACACACAAAGCATTGAGTGGCAACGACTCGCTGTGATTATTTTAAATGGGCTCGGGCCTTCCGTCAGTCACCATTATCGGCAACTATTGAAGCAGATTTTTTGTCACATACGAAGGTATTATTGAACGCCAACTCATGACAACAGTTACGACACCGGCTAGAAAATAACACAGGTTAACGTTAAATACATTTTCCGAGCGTTACACATTAGGCCGCAAGTGATCAGAAATCAAATATTAGAACTGATAGTGGGAAAGGCTTTGTATTGATGCCAGCAGCCAGTCAGCGGCTGTTCGATGGATATAATGTATCAGTTGCAACTTGAACAGCGACGAAAACGCAGGGTAAAAGTAGCAATGATGTACGTTCGTATTAGTTATATAAAAAATGCAGGTGACATAACACAGAGGCGAACTCGAAAGATTTAGTAAGGGCAGTTTTGCTAGAGAAACCCAAGTAATGGCTTGTCGAGTACACGTGATGCTATGAGGCAATACACTTATTAACTCGACTTCTACTTTTAAGCTTCTAGCTCAGTTATTCTAGATATAACAAAATTATCACCGAAGTTTTTTACACAGCATACTTTATTATACTGTCGGCGTTAAGTTCATCATTAATTACAAAGTGGAATACTTACACGATAGCTCTTAACTGTGAACAAAGCAATACTATGATTTTTTAGGCTAACGAACGTGTATTAATAATATTTGCATTCATGTCTAAGCAGTGTAGAGATCCGATGAGCTTGCGCGATTGTAACCAAACGCGCAGATGCGACAGAATGAGCACAATCCATCGTTTTAAATGATACTCTTCAAAGTTAAATATTTATTGTATTATATTATTATTGTTATGGCGGATGAATGTTGTAGCGCGCAAAAAATTAAAAAAAAACTATGTATATAAGACCTGTGAAACTTACTGTGTATTTACTCCTCTACCTCGCATACCAGTTCAAGGCATCCTCTACAAATGTTGGCAACAAGATAGGCAGATATGTTACCAATAATAAAAAGCAACTAAATAACACCAACAGAGCCGAATATGCGCTGTCTAGTCTTAGAAGAGAAATATATATATATATATATATATTCAACTCATTTCGAAACAGAAAATGTTTCAGTTAAACATATTTTACTGAGAATTATTAAGCATAGTTTTTTGTACTGCAAATACACACTATAAACTGCCATATTTGTGCTGATATAAATTCAGCAGTTGTTGCAACGCTAGACCCCGCTAAGCACGATAAAAGCAATGTAGCATAAGAAAAACATACCAGCTAGTATATGAGTAAAAACAACACAGAGATAAGGAACTTAAAAAAAAAAAAGAGGAAAAATAGGGTTAAGCTCATTTGTAACAGGTAATCTATAAAATTTAGATTTAAACTATTCTACGAAGATTTTGTTACATTTCAGTACTGGTTATTCCCCTATCAGAAATGATCAAATAAATGCCTGAATGGACAATTAACCACAAAATGTAATTGTCATCTATTGCTTTTACTGGCGGCTTGAAACAGGACAAAACTGGGCTGCATTTTCGTACAGCATAGATTTTAGCCACGTCATTCTTACATCATAACACTTAGATAGAACAACGCGAATTGAAACTAACACGTGCTACATTATGGAAGCTACACGACAAGTGTGATGGAAAAAAACTCTAACAGTAATAAGAGAACAGTTGTTTCCGAATCCGCACAGAAAATGTATCATGCACATACGTGCTGCATGGCTGCTCTTGTACTTAGTCGCTTGCTTTAATTAACCTATAATTGTCGATATCGTCCGCGAGGGTCGTCGAATAGACGAAAATGATATTTTCTTAGTTGTAACAGGATTTTGTAAAACACATTACACAGAGGCAATGCGACGCGGCTGGCCGTAACGTTGTAAATGCAACGCGTTTCGAAGTCATTCGCCGTTATCGTCTGGTGGGCGTAACGCGTGTGTGTACCGCCTCGTGCAGCTCTGAATAAAATGCAGCACTGAACGGAAACGTTAAAAAGGTAAATTTGCGAAATACCAATTCACATACAGCGATCATAGCACACTCTGTGTAGCATAATAGAGGCTATCTATCTTGTCGTTGCCACAGTTCACCCTCAAACATGATAAGCAACGAAGCTATTTTTTCATTATTAAAGAAATTACCGAACGGGTCACACGTTACTACACGAACAATACAGGTCTTCGTTGGATTGTAAATTGAAGACTAAAGAATGTTGCATAGTCAGCTTCTTATTTCTATTATTATGTGTGTAATTATCATTGTTCTGTTTACCGAATCAGATATGAATTGGCTGTTAATGTGGTGGCTTGCTTATTTACAGATTATCATGATGCTTGTCATGATACTATTTTGCTATAATGAAAATGCTGACAGATGATCTGTGACGTACGAACAGGCCGAAGAAAGGCTGACACATCTGTACAGGATGCCTAAGCTTTAACACCGATGCGAAATTGAATCTGTAGTGTAGATAAAATCAGCAAATATTGCTCATTTTGAATTAATGAAATCGCTCTGCAACTAGAATAAATGAAAATGCTGAAATTTGAAAGATTGTTTTTTTTTTTATTATTGCAAGTGTGTTATTAAAAACATAGTCATAACTAGCTCCAAGAACAAGCGTGACAGCTCGAATTTACAGGGTGATTTCAAATTTTTTCATACTTTGCAACGAAGCTTATGGCCAACTGTTCAAAAACAAACTGTCCAGAGTCTTTTGAACCACTCTGTATACTGTAGATGAAAATCATCTAAGGTCATTCTAAAATTTACTTGAAATGATTCACGCGTCAATATTGTGGACGTGTTTGTTATGCTTAGAGAGAACTATGATTACGATTTTCTATAATTATTCAACGTGTTTGCCGGAGAGTTATATCGGTTACCAAGATACAGGCAAAATTCCAGTAAGCGTTCGCATGAGACCGCAATTGGTAGCAGTAGTATTTATGCGTAAATCTTTTTGTTCGACATAATTGCCCGATGAGGCTCTAAACATTGCAGTTCGCTGCGTGCAATATGTTGAATACAATAACATTCAAAGAATAAATGATTCGTGCTGACTGTTCGATAGTAAGCTCTAAACGATTAAAACGCTTTTACAAAATGGAGAGGCGAAAATTCTGAATCATCAATGTTCAGTCTGAATTCTAATCGACATGTGTTTAGCCGCAGAGAAGTTCCGCTTTGTCGTGATCGTGTGACCGCAGATACTATAAACTCGACAGGTGATGGTCAGACCGACTGGTGGCTGTGACTGCAGATTCGTACTAATTAGATAAGAAACACCTTTCACTAAGCAATGTCGTCACTCCTTTCACAGTATTCTTATTCTTTATTAATTAACTGTCTTGAAGTCGACTTTCATTTTACGGAATTAAATTAGACTCAATCATCAAACCAACCTGACTTTCTCATGAGGGTATGACTCATCAAGGTAAGATCTGTCGAGTAAGGCAAGATCATTCTTTTTTCTTATGTCTTTCAGGTTGACGAACGCGTCTTGAACTAATTTGGCCGCTCGATTAATTCGTCCACCGGTAGCTTGACTAAATCATACTTGAGATATTACATCGTAGTCTACTGCGATACATTGTAATGTTAGAAAACCTTTGAAACAATAAAAAATTTTATTAATAAGTGTCTCTATTGTTGACATATCTCTATCTAAATAGATCTCCTTACTGTGGCGGTAAACATGGCTGTAAAGAAGATGTCTTACACCTATTTTCATCTGCAGAGGATAAGCATGGTAAGTCCGTATCTCAACTGATGAAATAGACCGAACAGCTAAAAACCTTTGGAAAGAAACATAGCATATACTGCCTTAAATCGGGACTAACTCTCTACAATGTAAGCCTGCTCTACGTGAATTTCGACGGGTTACTTATCTGCACCCAGTTATGCCGTGAACCGTTTCCTGGATGACATTCATGATAACACGTCGTGTTTTAGATACGTGCAAAATCACTATACAATGAAGAGAGCCAACCGCGGATCAAAAACCTATTTTTTCTGAAAAGGAATTCACTGCGCGGTGTATGTAGGGTAGATTTAAGTATATTTATATTAAAAAAAATATATAGAATATTTCTTAATCATTAGACATAACAACAATTTAAACTAGGGGCCCGTTTCTAAGACCTTCATACGCAGAGACTGGGTTAACTATTAATACTAGTTGAACTCATAACCCATACTTGAATTTAAAGCGGATATTAAGTGCTACCGGAGTGGTGTATTTAATTCACGGAATTCGCTTTGCGTTTAAGTTTTCCGATATTGCCCCTCCTACAACGAATCCGCTACAGGCTTGTTTACGCTTTTGGAGCGTGTGACACAACAAACTTTCCTATGAACACTCCATTGATATTTCATAATTGTATACCCTAACGCTTTCATTATTAACGACTGACGCAGTTGTCTTAAAAGCCATACATGCCGATTTCCTTTCGGATCTTCTTTTTCCATCTAGGCATGGGAGAAAAACCTTCTCTGGATCATCTCGTCTTATAATCCTTGTCTTTGGATTGCCATTGAGCTGCGGTAACCAGTGCTATTACCGTTGAGCTGTGGCTCATTTATAGTTGCCGGCGTATTACCAGAAACGCATCTGATGTGAAGCCGGCCATGTGCGCCCTGCATCCGAGAGCATTAACTTTCGATACTACCACGAAGACAATACGACGGGAGCAAGCTAGTAGCAGCAAGGAAGGGCACAACTAATTACTAGGAGAAGGCCAGTAAGTGTGCGGAACAAGAAAGAAAGGGATAAAGGGCAATAGCCGTTCTATACAGCCGTATCCGCTGTGCGGCCGTCGCTGGTCGAAGCTACGGAGAGGCAATTGCCGCTTCTGCTGCCGCTGCAACACAGCAACCGCCTATATTAACAATGGCCTATCGTCGACGTTAGCTTGCCGTAATTTCTTGTAGCTATTCTTGCTCGGCTAGCACTGGCTGGAAGAAACATCAACTATAGTGATTTCCGTTACGAAACAGCGTTAGAGTTGGACCCAGTGACCGCAGAGTAGTAACATAGTTGGAGTCAGCGCAGCATTAACAGCAGCGGCTCTCAGCCTCGTTAGCTACTTCGCCTCTGCTAACTGGCTTCCATTATTATTACGTCTGCTACCCTGTCGTCATCGTCGTTCGCCCATTATTGTTCACTCTTCGACTCCCTTTCAGTCGATGGCTGACTAGCTGACTGATACAAGAGCTTAACGATTATCTCTGCGACGACTTTCGCTACCGCTTTCCCTGCTGCAGATCAGTGCCGCTACTAACTAGTATTGACTACGGATAGCGGGAGCAGACTGCCTTAGCCATTGCCGCCGCGAGTTCAGCATCAGCAGAGCAATAATATTTTGGAGTGAGTTGGTCGCGGCTGCTGCTGTGTCTGATGTTTGTGTTAGTCATCGATGGTACAGCATAGCAGCAGCAGCAGCAGCGACGATCATCAATACAATTAGTACAGGGAACCGCAGCAGGATTGACAGCATCAGCAGTGTTCCGCTTTAGAAAAGAGAAGCATCGTCAGCGACAACGATCACTGTCAGTCAAGCGAGCGAAGTCGATCATCGTCTGACTCGTAGAAATCGGATCATCATTCACTCATGGTTGGTCCCGCCAGCCAACTTCGGTCAGAAAAGCGTATCCTGTACTTTCTCGATGGCACTCTCAATCGATGAATGATTTGTTTGTCGAAAACGACGACAGCGGCAACAGCGGCGGTGATGGTGGTGGCGGCGGCGGCGGCTGACGACAACTGAAAAAAAGCAGGAGAAATGGAGAGAAAAGAAGCTTCAGTGTGTGCCTTTATTTGATGCATATATTTTTGACTTGCGTGTAAAGCACAAGTGTCCTCGTTTTGTATGCATGTGTTTGTGTGCTTCGTATTGTGCAGAATAAACAGAAGAGTTAAATGAATTGAGCTGGTTATTTTTCGTTGCGTAAGCAGCGACAGAAATGAGGAGTGATCAAGCAGGCTCAACAACGGTCATGCAAGTAACGTTATCGCTTGTATCGATACCATTGTTCGATACTGCTTGAGCAGAGTCATCGCAGTGTTTCAGTAAAGGGTTAGTGACCATAGTTATGAGATAAATAACTGAGACGTAATTATTGTCGGTATGCAGCGAAACGTACATACGAATATATTGTACGTACTATAGCGAACTATTCTCATACACTATCGCGAAATCAGGAAACTGCATAACATTTAGTGTACGCCGGCCGGTCATACACTCTCTGTAGCCAATAATCGATTGTCAAAAATTGATCAAGGACAATACTCAAACGAACCTGGTCGACATTTTCGGTATTCGACAATCGATGCTATTGTTATTACTAATATCATCTTTATAGGCAATGTCGAATTCGCCACGCAACGCTGAAATAATCACGTACATACGTGCTCGTATATTCTAATAAGCAAACATAAACGCACTCTCTATAATGAAAGATTCGAGTAAAAAGATTTCGCACAGCGGCGTCATAGAAACCATAAATTATGCAATCCTGATCGCACACATTTATATTAAATCACGTTGTTATTACGTATATTATCTAAATAAGTTGTTAATGATACACTTTTTTCCCTCGAGCTCTCTCTCTCTATGTATATATATATATATATATATATATATATATATATATAAACTACATTATTATACTACTAGATCTAGGTTGCGGGTTTTTCTCTTAAGAGTGTTGGCTTGCTGAAGTTCTATCCAAGGAATGCTAATCGAACAAATACTCTTGCTTCTAAAAGACAAGCTTTTTTCCCCCCGTAGAGCGTTTAAATATAGTTAGTCGTCAATGAAAACCAGCAGCGCTCCTTTTCCACGTTTGAAAGTTACGCCGTACCACTTTTTAAAAACACTAAGCAGACGTACATTAGCATCGCTCATACTGATATATCTCTAAGTGTATATTTTGCAAATGCATATTTTTCTATAAATGATGCTTGAACAAATGTGGTCAGCATGTATTGTACGTATGTTAAAGTATTTTGTATAGGGTTATAGCTATTAGAGTATAGCTAGCCGCTACCCAACGTTATAACTATAATTAGTCTTTCATCTCTTCTCAGGTAAACTGTGTTTACAAGCAAAACAGGCGCGGAATGAAACCCGCGGCAGGCGGCACTTTATATAGACATGTATATAATATTGCATGGCTCCGTTGTTGTTGTTGCTTGTGGGTGAAGGTATGTTGACGCCAACAGCGTATATATAATGACCATAATTGACAACAGCAGCGGCAGGTGAACTTCTAAGCATTTAATGATCGAAGAAGAAGTTAATTTTTAAGCGACTCGATTGTGTGTCTTTTTGGTCGCTGTTGTCGCCTTAGTAGGGGCCGGTACGGCTCAGCGCAGCGCTGCATGTAGCCAACCGCTCCATTTCAATTGCTGGTCATTGATAGAAAGGCTGTCAATGCCTTCGTTCTCATTGCGTTTCACGTGGCCTTTCTTCTTACAGGTATACGTATTAGTTACAGTGGATCGGGGAACCTCAACCAGTGACAGATGACCAGTTTGTTAGCCAGCAAACCGTTTACTCAAAACTGTCACTTGTGGTCTGGTGCTGTTTCGCGCTGCTTTCGCTGTTTGCTGCCAGTTCGGTAGCTCATCGTCTCGCACCTTATGGGCGCCAGTGCTGCCATTGTTGTGGGCGGGTGTTCTCCGTTTCAGCAATCGCTCAGCGCCGCAAAGAACATTGTGTCATCGTCACAGCTTTGCTTGCATGCTAATCGTAGCAGTAATGGATGCCGAGCGATATGATCAATTTCATACCAAATATATTCTATATAATATCTAAGCAGAGCGAATTATATAATAAGGCGGCCGTTACGCTGGCTGAGGCGGCGCCGGCAACAACACCAACAACGACAACAGCAGCAACAGCAGCAGCAGCAGCAGCAGCAGCAGCAGCAGCGGCGGCGGCGGCGGCGGAGAACAACGTTCACCACGGTGGCGTAGTAGGAACTGTTAAATCGCTGCAGTGGTGTGAGCCATCGTCCTGATCATCGTGTGCTGTTGCCATTGCCGTCATCGTTGGTTCTTTCAGCCAGCACCATCGTCAGCAGCGGCCGCCCCCGCTACCGGCTGTGGACTCTTGGTTTTCGGCTTTCAATCTGCATTCTCTCAACCTGCTGTCGTCGTGTCGCTGCTACAGCAGCGGTATACAACTACCATTGCAGTACTGACAGTTTATCAACTAAACCAACCCGCCAGACACCTGCGTCTGTCTAATAGTAACCCGACGATCCGGCTGTCCAAATTGGTTGAATGATTTCTGTGACCACCGACAGCAGACATCCGGCGACTTGTGGCCACTTGACCCTCCGTGAGTGACAGTAGGACCGATGAGGGCGAGAAGGGGCGGAGAGGGAGCGAGACAGAAAGCGCAAAAGGGAAAGAACAATAGAAACGGACAAGGTAACAACACATCCATCTGCACAACTAAACGAAAGAGGAGGGCCAGCTGCCAACAAACTACTGCCAATCAGGCATCGTCATTACATAGTAAACGCAGGTTAACACTGTAGCAGATCCGTAGCCACCGCTTGTTTCAGTAGTACTCAGTACTGATAACAGCAGCGGGGACCTGTTGCGCTATCGCTCTCGATACAGCCGCCTCTGCTGCATCGCTGGTCACCGAATCTGCCACGGCGCTATCTCACGTCTCTGCTTTATGTTTGTACTCTTCGCCGGGGTTTTAATTGTTGTATAGCATAGAACTATATGTATGCTGCTTAAGCTAAGCGACTAATCGCAGTAGCAGCATAAGAGTATCGGAATACTGGCACCTATAGCGACGCATGCAGCCGCCTTGCGTCAGGAGCGATCACCTACTGATAGAAATGAGAGACCAACGAGTGCTGCTGAGACTAGACTAACGATGAGAAACAGCTAACAGATATATGAGATCTTTACTTCCTTTTATCGTTGGTTTCCGTATGGAAACGCAACAAACAAACTAATCAATACAAGCAATAGTTTTCCATCTCGGAAAAGGGTACAACTGTTGAAAATTAATGCGAGTCTAGTGGAGTTGTGCACGCGACAATCTTTCGTACCAGTTCAATACTATCGCATTCGTATTTTATGCACTTCAAGTGAAGTGAGTAATGCTCAATTATTTGTGACTCCAGAGTAGCAGTGATCGAGCAACGATAATAATTATTATCTACATTCATAAAATAGTTGGAAGGCAATTAGGCAGTGAGTTTAGCTGTCCGGAAATAGTAACTCAAGATGACAACTATCGAAGGCGAATTCGACGCAATCGAACAGGAACGCTCCTGGCAGAAGGTGTTCGCAAACATTCGAACTCGTTCATCGCAGCATGATTTTTCAACGAAAGAGGCTAAGAAGGCCGAAAACCTTAAATTAAATCGGTACGCCGACGTCAGCCCGTACGATCATTCTAGGGTGGTGCTACACAGATCCAATGTCAATTATATCAATGCGAGCGTGGTGCCGGTGGAAAATGCTGGACGGGAATATATACTGACTCAGGTATTTGGTATTGCCTATCGTTCATTAGTGTTACATTGTGAGATAGTCACAGAAATTTAAATGTTAAATATTTATTCTACAGAATTCAATCGAAATTGAAAAAAATGTCTTAGCTGAGAATTTCGAGTAACAAACTACAATTAACATGGGTTGTTCGGGTTCTGCGATTAATGGCTTAACATTATGCCGATCTGTGCTTTAAGGATGACTTCCTTTTGTGCCCAACTTTGTCTCCAATGTGTAAAATCCTGCTCCACAAAGGAAGGCTAACTAAGGACAGAGCTTTTGTATTTTTGGCGTGGTACTCATTCTCATAAATATAAATGTAAAACTGCTTCAAATAACGAACTAATTGCTATCGTTTATTTTCGCCTGACCCAGTACGATATGTGCAGCATCCTCGAAACCGATGAGTGGCTAGCAATAAGGTTCACCGAACTATCGAACAAACATAATGTTGACAAAGACAATTTTTTAGGCATAATTATACAGAACAGTTTTAGGGTTTTTAGGGCTACACAACTAGGCTCACGCCAAGCGCAGCAGCTAGCATATTATCGACCGTAGAAAATTGGTCCTCAACCTTTCGGTAATAGTTATTTGCGCCGAACGTTTTATATGTCCTAGTGTAGTTTTGGTGTTACAGAAAGTGCGTATTCCAATCAAAAACTCACATTCTTTTATATAATAGTGCACTATAAGTTGAAAATACGCTTTACGTTCATTGTGATACGTTTCAGCAATGAGACCAGTATAGACTCTCGAGGTATGAAAAGCCATACTTGCCTACAGTGCATTTGGCCGGTGTTTACACTGATATTAACTAATTAGAGATCAGTAGCCTATTCAGATGTATATCTAGGACACGCTTAAATGAGCGAAACCTTGGCCTTGAGAATAACTGATTAATTTCGTGTCGTGGTCAATAGGCCGATTTGACTGTTTACGGCTTTAGCCACATCCACCCAATGAACAGCATAACTTTCTTCGACACTATGCACATAATGCTACGACCAGATCAGGAACGGACATGCAAACGACGGCAGCTTAATATTAGGCAGTAATTGCCACAGAGCGGTGCTCAAGTTGTACTATTATTATAGTTATTATTGTTGAGCAGATTATGCTAATCGGCATCGAACGAATAATTCAGTAGTGCAATCATCTTTCTGATTGATTCACAGGGACCCCTGGCTGAAACTCTACCCCACTTTTGGCTCATGGTTTGGGAAAATAATACAAAGGTTGGTCAGCCGAATTTTTGTTTTATGTATCTTGAATATGCAATAAATGTATTTATAACGCATTTCTATTTTCTGTTTTAAAAAAAAAAACAGAAAATAGAAATGCGTTATACATACAATTATTTTATATATTTATCTTTAACAAATCTCTAGAACGTTTTAGTGGGTTTCGAGACAATTGATAATTCTATCACAATCGACACTTATGGCATACAGAATTAAACATTCTGTGTAAATACGCGTGTAGTTGATTAAACAAAACACTCAACCAAACAACGTATGAGCCAACGTGAGAAACGATCAGCGCCACCATCTGTATACCGAATGTCGAATCTTTTTCTAACGTACTGATTGTATGCGTCTGACATCTATTAGGGAATCGTCATGCTCAACAAATTGGTTGAGAATGACGCAAAGAAGTGCCATCGGTACTGGCCAGACGCGAACGAGAAAAAAATCGCTTTCGAAGGTGTCGATCTTCGAGTCAGTTTCGTTTCGGAAAGTACCAAGGAGAGCTACATATGCCGGTTAGAAATTCCCAGATCGATTACATTGCAACGTTAATGCTCCACATTGATAACTCCCCTGAAACACTACTACTTGATATTGAAAACATCTCCTAAGAAATAAATACTTGTATGCCACGAATCTATGAGACCATCAAAAGTTAGCCAAGTTACCAGTAATTCACAAAACCTGAGACTGCCCTGTAGTGTTGGAGCTTCCACTACTGGTATTTTGTTTCAAGCCAGCTGTAATGATTAGATACATCATGTAATTCTCACATATCTAACTGTGTATCAACGATAATGTGGATACCTATATTTTGTGTGCTTGCTTATTGCGGAATCATATTGTGATAACTTAATTTTTTTTCCTTTGATTCATAGGACTTTCCAGTTGCATGACAGCAAAATTGATACCACTAGAGACGTCCTGCACTTCCATTATGTCAACTGGCCAGATTTCGGAGTTCCACGAAGCCCTAATGACTTTTTAGACTTCCTTGAAGATGTGTAAGTTTGTATCATTAACCATATATAGGCTACGGAAAAATATGGCTCTTCGTAGGTTGCCATGGCAATATCTTAAAGTGCGCCACTTTTCGAGGAAACGTAGGGCTTTGTTCCTAGATTGAAACCTGATTGATCATTCCCTTAAAAACACCTTTGAAACTCATCTGGAGTTATCTGTTAAGGAAGCCATAACTAAATTAAATGTGGCAGTTTTTATTATGGTTCAAACGTTTTTTTAAAATTATTAAGTGGTTCGGGTTTTACGTTTGCATGGGCTATATAAAAAATAGTTCCTGACCGACGTGCAACTTAGAAATTTCTCAGATCCTGAGTAGACATAAAGACAGTCTATATAAAATGCAACTTAAATTTTTAAAAAACGTCTGCAGACGAAACGTGGGCTGAAAATAGAAGAATTTCAAGGAAGTTGGGAACATATATTTCGAATAGTTTCAATTGAAAACCTGTCTTTAGGTCATTCAGATTACAGCCCACTTATTAACGGAGAACATACATATATGTAATTATGCGTGACGAAACATTAATAACAGTGATGATGAAGTAATTCTAAGAAAGGCTACTAAATTATTTATACAATTGTTTTTTGAAAAGGTTATTAAAATTCTTATATATAATTACACAGATACCAATAATCTTTAAAATAAATAAATCTCTAAAAACGCACAAGCAACAACAACGATATCACCGCTATATTTGTAATTACTGACTGAACGCTTTTGGAAGTTTGTTTTATTAAAACTGCCCTGTATATATTTCCTGTTACACCAGGAGATATTCCGGCTGCTTAGACGCTAACGTGGGTCCCGCCGTAGTGCACTGCTCAGCTGGTATCGGCCGCTCGGGAACGTTCTGCGTCGTCGATTCAATTTTGAAAATGATCGAAGAAGGAAGAGCGGAAAGCGATATCAAATTGCAGGACGTTCTCATCGATATGCGGCGCTTCCGAATGTCGCTCATTCAAACTGCCGAACAGCTGCGTTTTTCGTATCTAGCAATCCTTGAAGCGCTGAGAAGACGACAGGGCAGGTCACCATATCTCAGCCGGCGGGGCGTTAACGACGATGCCCCTCCACCACCACCTCACCGAGTCGGCATTGGTAACAAATCTTCGAATATGCCAATTATGGTTGTCAACTCAACGGCGGTGTCATCAAGTGACGACGATGAGGACGACGACATTAACGACAAGAATTCACCAGTTGCTGAATTAAGTGGATTTCAAGATTCGGCCGTCTCTTCGGAAATGAGCAGCGGCGATGAAAGCAGCGAAGACATACCACCCCCTCTACCGCCGAGGCACATTTTTGCAGCGGATTCACCCATTTCGTCTGAAGACAGCCCGGCAAGGTCTGAACAACAACAGTCGCAACAGCGACTAGAAACCAGCCAGACTGAAGAAACACACAAACAAATTTCAAACAATATAAATCTCTCAAAGGATTTTCAGCAAAATAATCGGGAGGCAAGCGAGAAGGCTCTTCAGGCTAAAGCCGCACTCCAAACGGCGACGCCAAGCTCCATACAGCAAACAATTACTGAGGATCTTCAGAGCTTTGAACAGGAAATTCTTTCGAAAGAAACAATGCAACAACCAAAGCCTTTCAAAGGAGGCAACGCTGAGAAGACAGCAGACATAAGCCAGTCGAGCAAGAAGCAGGATGAATACGGCGATGCATCAGGAGAAGAGCATAGAACCTGCTTGCGTCAGCGCAAGCGACAACGCGACCAAAAGATCAAGGACAAGGTTCAGGCCATTAAGAAAGGTAAGATCATCTTTGCTGTTTTTCTTTTCCGTTGCTAATAATACATAAGCAAAGCAGTTAGCATCTCATCAAAACCACGCACACTACGGTGCACAATATTCAAAATAGCAACTAACAAATATACTACACGACATATACCATATGACTGGTCTGATTAAATAAAAAAACAGAGGAGTCAATAAGATAAAAGGGAAATACAAATCTAGTTGAAAGAAAGGTTCGTAGATGTTTATAGCCGCAAGGCAGTACCTTAAGATTGTTCTATCAAATCAATTGCTAGTAATAATTGCAAACGACGAGATTTAATATTTGGCACTCGGAGTCGGTTGCAGCTAGTGGGTATTTTACATAAAATTAACTTAATTGAAGTAATAACATTAAATCTTATCTGTCATTTTAGATTAGAGCAAAAAACAAGAGCTTAAGTAACAGTAGCGTTTTTCTTGAAAACTCCATTTTAGTTGGTTAAATTTAAGTTTGGCATACCTTAACCAGATTTACCTTACATCTATATTTTTAGGCATTGCTGATTCTGAGGCAGCGCACCAAAGGCGAGGTCTGTTTGAGAAACTTGGAATCGGGTTCGTAGTTCTTATGGGAACCGGCATCCTGATGTACCGCATATATAATTATTGGCGCAGCTAAATGGATCTTAGGTGGTCACCTAAAGGTCACCCATATCTTTACATACACTGCGGTATTTTTCTCAGAGATTGATAAGCATCAACTAACTTATTCTGTGGCAGGAGACCTAAAGCAAAAAAGTCTCGGGGCCATATGGTCTCACCTATTCATCTTGCCCAGCTCGAGTATCAAGCTCTATATTGTCTATATAATTATTACATTATTACATTATAGATGTCCATAGCCTTTATAAGTAGCGATAGAGACATTTGTAACGAATGCGAATTAATGCCGAAGAACGAACTTCCATTGATCAATCGAAAAATAGTTTCGAAGCAAATGACAAAACCTTTTGTGGGAAGTTGTCAAAACGCCGAAAATAATATTATTGGCATTAGTACTGAGGTGAATAAGTAAAAAAAAAAGTGAATAAGGAAGAGAAAGGCTATAGGGAACAACTGTGTCGCATAGATATACGCATGTACTGAAAGCATAGGGTATAAGAAAAAAGACTGCAGTATAAATTCGTAGGTATGCATACGCATCAAGTATATTGATACATGAACGCAGCGAGAAGGTTTACGATACGATGACAGTCTAATGATAACAGTAGTCAAATTACCAGGAGCGCGGAGAGATTTAATACTTTAAAATTTACACGTCGTATAGATTTAGATGATACGGAAAAAAAGTAAATAATTTGTACCTACTATAAAAACAACACCAGACCAAACCAATGAGAATGAGTGTTGAGCAGTGCGAAAGGGAAAGACGAAAAAGAGGACTAAATAAAAATAAAAAGAGGTTCGATGTCGAACTGATGGACGAATAGGTGTGATAAATACACTTATGAGTAGTAAGATGTCAGTGGCCAACAGCCGTGTATAGAACGCGATATGTGTATACAATTCACGTAAGATGTGCTTGAGCTCCCTAAACTCGTCCGGAATGTGCAGGTGTGGTTTGACTTGCCAATAAAAAACATGTCAGATATCTCATTTCCATGTGTGTTTTCATTGCCCAGTTCGTGATACGCCGTAACATACTAAATGTACATATTTCTTGCTTTCAAAGTGAAGCGTTAGGCAATATCATAACGTAATGAGCTCACAACCTTCAAAGTCAAATTATTAAACACACTTTTACTTATCACAGGCTACGAAAAGTTCATATATATAACTTTTTCTCAGCCTGACTGTAAGAAGTAAAACTGTATCTTCTTGACGTGTAGAACAGTAGCCGTTGTGTTCGTCTTAATAAGGAGAAATGAAATTTCAAATTTAGTGTTTGTGTAAGTTCCACGTAAGCAAGTATGATTATTTATGCTGCTTAAAGTGTAGATAATGGCAACGATGCCTGTGCCTTTGAAAAATCGACTTGAACGGGGTTTTCCCATTGATGCATCACTGCAATGGTATTTTTTCAATGTATTTTCTCTTGAAATGCCATTTTGCTTTTCATTATCTTTTTATAAACAGTGACTGCATGTTTGTCCTCTTATCTAACAGTAGAACGTAATAATAGAAAACAATAATAAGTGCAATAGAAAATTGTCGCAGAGTCTAATGGATGGTTTTGAATTGGCCAAAAAAGTATGTATTTCTGCTTCAGTCTTGTGTAGCGTATTTTATTCTTGCAGATTCCTTGTACATAAATGTTTATTGCAGCTTCTTCAGCTAATTATACCGAATAGAATGAGCCAAAACTCATAAGATGTATTCGTGGTAAGCTTACCGCAGTAAGGCAATACAAGGACTGTCGCAAGTTTTCTCTGTGTTTTCATTTTTGTGCCACATGAATCAAGTGCAATTTCGAGGTAACCTATTCAAATCACACTGGTGTATTCGGTAAACAATTAGCTAAAGAACGGGAAATTCTTTAACGAATAAACGCTTCAGTTGTTACATCTGTTGTTGTTATTGTTGAATATCGCTTAAAACGACTGACCTCGCAACACGATACGAAGCGTAATTACGCCCACTGGTGTAAAATAAAAAACATTAAGAAAAATGTTCTGTTTACATGCAGGATTATTTTAGATTGTCGGCCCCAGCAATAAGCAAAGTGTGTCAGTGCTTGGTCTCGAAACTCTACCACTTTCGGCGTTTCTAACTTTGGAAGGCACACGCGTTATCGCTGCACCATAATGCAGTCAGAATGAAAAGCACGTAGTGACTTTTGGCTCAATTTCGCCAATTCGTTCAAACACCCAATTACGGACGATAGACCGATGCACTCGAATTTCGAAACCCCTCGGTGCTAACGTTATTTATAGAGACATACGAAGTGACGTTTCATAAACTATACAAGCATTTCTTCTTTTTTATAATTATATACTTTATATTCCGTAAACTATACAAGCGATCTCAAGCATTTTGTTCAACAGAACGATATTCCTTGAAATACTATTATAGAGAAAAGCAACATGAGCGAAGCTTCTATCTTGTTTCGCGCCTTTTCCTTGAAAGCGCGCGCACGCAGCGAAATCGAAACATTCGAAAATCGTCCGGAGCGGGGTCCGTTCACCGGACGAACTGGTTGCAGCCTACCTGTCAATGCTGCATTCTAACGTTTTATGCTTTTCAACGTATAACAGGTACTCTACTACAGTGCGACTTTCATTGTATCCGGCAAATATTACAGAATCTAACAAGTTACATAGGCTCCATTGTGCGTCAGCGATGCTTTTGTAGTTCATATTTTCCAAGGAGAGACAAAACGAGTAAATGGCTGTGTCTGACGTGACAGTGTGAACTTTCACGTGACTATACCGGACGAGCGTGGATCAGCTCTCTCTAGGATCTCAGGCTGGACGCCGAGGTCGAATAGGCGGGCGGGATTAGAGCAGCGTTGACAGCTTTGTTTTGCTGTGAGTTCTCGATTGTATTTGAAGTTGGTGTATAGATGTCGTATGTGTTCGACTTGTTCCAACAAGAAATATTATTTTTAAATGAAAGGTATAGCCTGCTTTAATTTAGGCGTACTAATATTTATGTTGATAGAATTTCAGTTATATATAGTAACTAATAGCCTAATAATTATTATGCTAATACTTTTCAGGATGTCAGGATGAGTTCCGAAATTTATGATAACGCGAAAACATCCAAACCCATTTCGGTGAGGAACAGTTTGTGTATCGATGTATCGATTCTGCGTGCGTGTTAGTCGTTAATTTTAAATAGAATGAAAACTATCTTACTCAATTAAAGGGTAGTAAGCGAACCAAACTCTGCGCAATTTCTGAAACCCTGGCCGTTTTAGGTTACTCCAATTGCTTTCGAAAACTGCGGAAAACCATTAATTTTGTCAAAGAACTCAAAATATCACTAACAAATGAGCAAAGTCACGTTTAAGGAGAAATACTTACGACAGGCCTTCGCTGTCGAGTGGCTGTAAAACAGAAGCAAAAATATTCAGTCTGAATGCGATAGCCCGTATAGAAAATAAGTGATGAAAAAAGCTTTCATTTAATTCACTTTTACAAATTTATCAGTAAGACGTTAGACGGCTCGTATGTCATGATTGTACCTTCAGCCAGCAGCTTCAATAGATACAGATAATAAACTGTAGGGTTTTTGTCGATGGGGCTAGTTTTTGCCTCAGTTATTTAATCACTAGTGTTTTTGTGTTCTTTTTTTTATTAGTCATCATATATTTAGGTGCAAGCATTCTAGATTTGTACAAGAAAACAGGCGGAAGTTTGGAAACTACGTAGCAATAAAGGAAAATTTCAATTTGGCTGATTTTAGAGAAGAAGGCGAGAAGGGTTTAAATGATATTGACTTTTCAGCCTGTTTGCTTTTACCTTTATTATAGTAATGAGTTATAGCCAGTTCAGTTCGTATAGAATATAAAAAACAAATGGGATGATACCCAGAAGCCCGGACCATTCTTTGTCCAAAACTAACCTAGTAAATAAGGTTTTGATGACTTCGAATATGGATGTATCTATTGTCTATTCGTACAACGAGTCGTATTTCCTCTAACTTCTGTTAAGGACTCAAATTGTCAAGAACTACATTTTTTCTTATCTCACTGTCTCATTTTCATGGTCAGATCGATGCCCAAAAGCGAAAAGAGATCAAGCAAGAATTTTTCTTCGGCCTGGGCCTGTTGTTCTTTCTCGGATTCGTGGGATGTTTGCTTTACAAGGTCATTTACAAACACGTTGAGTATCTGCTTCAGGACCTGTAGGGAGAACTTCCGTAAAAGCCTTTGCAATCCACTTGTGAAAAGTTGACGAATAAACGACTACTGGCTTGTATGAAACGTCAGCATTGGGTTTAGTGAACGAAAGACTTTCTGAACGTGATTCGATCAGTTTCAATAATTCATAAACATGAATCAGGCACGTTTCGAATTTCTCAAGATGGCAGATGCACAACTAAAAGTATCTCAGCAAGAGGACGAGTTTCGTGAAGAAGTTCTTGAGCACAACAAAGTTTTCGAACAGATAAAAGTAAGTACGGGGTATCGCTGTAAACAACAGTAAAAGCCATGAGCATGTGCGAACCGCTGAGATTCGCAAGAACGATACTCCGCTATCGCCATAGTATGTAGACAAAGAGAGAATGCTTAAATCTATGTTTAATAAAAAAGGAACGTTTAATTATTGCGATAAGTTATAGGCAGCTATAGCAATGAATGAATGAAAGCAGTAACTCTAATTGTGTCTAAGCGCACTAAAGAATTTGACCTAAGACGAGGAAAGGCCTATTCACAATTAACTCGATTTATCTGTATGGCTTGATTTAAGGGTGGGATTCTAGACGGCGAACGAGAGCGACGTAGCCTCGAAGAAAGCCTCAATCGCCTCCGCCTTTCAAAAGTTATCGAAGCTTTAAGGCGATTGAACCAACGCGAAGATTTCAACGGGGCCTTAGAGCATCTCGTACAGCAACTTACTCAATTTTCTAGTAAGTGCGAGACACTCTAATCTACTGAGAAGAAAATTCATCAAGAATAAATATCACACGTAGTTTTTCTGTAGCACAGTTCCCTAATACGAGATACGTGTGAACTAATTTTGAAACAGTTTCCCTTCATGCTTTTGGTTTTTTGGTGCAACGCAATTATATTCTGCATAAATAGCTGTCAATAACGAAAAAGCTTTCAAATGAATTTCAGACTTGCTAAAATTGGTTGATGGAACTCCTATTCGAAATGCACAACCTGTCGACACACAAGAATTTCTTGAGCAACTCGATCAGCTGACAAATAGTTGGCGCTCATTTGATGACGCTTGCCCTGAGATAATAACTCTTAATAAGGTATTATATGTATATATATTAAGTTGAGGCAATAATAAGTTTATGAGTTTTTTGTCCAGAACATTTTTTTATAAACAATAGTTAAATTCCGCGGTCTAGGCTAGTACTCATAGAAGTATTTGCGCGGTATCCTAAGAGCCATAGTATTTAGCGTGGTGTAACTGATTTCTTACTAAAACAATTTCGCCTTTTTTTTTTAGGAAATAGAGAGCATGCGAAAAAGACTGCAACAGTGTGAAAAAATGGTTCGGCAAACTGTAGTCAACCAGATGCTCGTTGACATTTAGGCCTATGAATTAATTTCATACTGTTTTTTTTTACTAAAACGAAGTAGTAAATGAACTCCACTATTGAAGACGGAGTCACAAAGTATAATTCTGCTCCCAACTGGCGAACATATATATGTCTCTATTTTAGCTCGATGGAAAACGATTAGAGCCACTTTTGTTGAAGATGAAAGGTGATGCATGTGAGAAGGCAACAAAACTGCATAAACAGTATATGAATAGTGAGAATTTACATACAATTACTTCCGTTTATCTTAATGAAAAGTTAAAAAACCTCTAGGTGCGCGCCATTCCATAAATAAACGTTGTTATAATAACTGCTGGAAAATGCTTTTTAGAAAAGTGTAATTAAATGTATTAGGCAGTATGCGTGAGTTTTAAAAAAAGACGCCGCTCTAAGGATTGGATATGCACCGTAATGGTGCACTAGGACAATTGGCATACAAGCATTCATTGGCGTGGTCTTCATAGAGCGCCCTTATCAACGTTTCTGCCCCTAACTGTCGTAGAAACATCCTTCCCGCGTTCATTCATTGAGGCAATTTTGTTCTATCTTCGCTATATGTATTTTCTTCACTCAAGCTATTCTTTTTCTTCACTATTTGTGTATTTTGATAGTCAGATGATATTTTGTATGAGTATGTGACCAACCATAGCGCTTGCATCTTCGCGTACCACAAATGCTTGTTTATTTATAATCTTCATACAATTTTTTACTTAGTTTTGGATAACTTAGAATGACACAGAACCAACATTATTTGGATTACTATGCGAAAAAAGATTTTAATCAGTAATAAAAGTTACTAGTTTCATATTACAGCTGCTTAGGTAAATCCGGAAAATAGTATAAAAAATCAGAGGTAAATAAAACAATGCAAAAAATACCTCAGTAATCCTTTTTCTACAATGCGAGGCTACACTTTTATAATAATATGACACTAATGTAGTAGTAAAAATATTATTATTTTAGAAACAAGACATGGCGTGAATCGGCAGTTTTGTCTCATATTTAGAAAACAAAAAATGAACCAAGAAATGTCAGACATATTTATCCTATGTACATATATAATGCGCGGAATTATTCCCTTAGCCACAGGGATGAAGCGCCAAAGGTTCGTTACTATTACTTTGTGGCATAATAGTGCAGAGAGACCTAAGCTATGCGCGACACAAAGATTCTTGGATCTTATTATGAGATGTAGTAAAAATAGTCACTTAAAAACATGCCCTTTTGTATATCGCTAGTTTTCTGTTCATATTCATGCCACGATTACTTTGAAAGTTTAATTTTTCGAAATCAAAATAAAAATCAAATTATTGTCTACTATTTTAGCAATATTTACAATTATTGTTAGTATCGCGATTTTCGTAATCGCCAATTCCCATAGGTAAACAGAGCGTGTATCCATCGGTAACTAGCGTACTGTTTTTTTGGGACTTAGTCTGAACAAAGTGGCCTTTTTTTATAGACCTGTGTTGCATCGCATCGAGAAAAAGGTGAATTGTAGATTTATTGTTTCTCCTATTATCTTAATCACCTGTTAGTCTTTCTGGCACTGAATAAAGATTACTTAGTTAGTTTTTAGGCGAACACGTGCCGATGCTGGCTTGTAAAGCTGTAAAGTTATTTGTAAACTCATAAGTGATTAAGGCGGACTTACTAGCAGATAGAAGGGTTAGGTTAGGTTAGGTTTTCATTTATACCCTGTTGAGCCCACTAGAACGTATCGCGAATCAATGTAAATATTTACTATGTGGACCCAGAGGGTTATTTTACTGAAGCTCGCGTTTTCCAAGAACCTCGAGTCTGACGATTTTTGTACCACTGAAAGCGAAGTGTATTTAATAATAGTCTCGAAAGTTTTCAACCTTGAGATACGTCCTTTTGGTTTAACCGAAATTAATTGATATTTTTGCGAAATTGAGAAACTTAGCTTCACATTACTTTTTATATCTTCATATAAAATGAAAAAAAATATGGCATTATCTGAACAGATTGAATGAAAAGTTATCTAACGTTTCGTAATCTACATAGCTAAAAAATTCGACAAAAAGGTTTTATTTTAAATAAGTGAATCGCCTTAATGTTACCTTTATTTTGCTTTTATATACATAACATGTGTGTATATTACGTAAGTGAATAAAGGACATTAAATTACAAAAAATCTCATATTTGTTGACACAAATTAAAAAGAATGCTACCAAACTGTTTATAGAAGAACAATATTAAATATACTCTAATTTAAAAAATTCAGTCTTAAGTTTTTAATTCATTTTATTTAATTCTATGAACAGAAATTACTTTCTTTATGGTTTAGCACAGGATTACTACTAATTGTATCCACTTTTAGACGGAGATCTTTGCATTGATTTGAGTTTTAATGTCAATGAATAACAGATACAGCCGGAAAGAAATGATGTTTTCTGCTCTACTAGCTTTACTTGAGAAAACGCGAAATATAAAGGGCAGACTATAATGAACAGACTATACGGTAATCGACTATGACCATAACAACCCTTGATTGCTGACTACTAAATTATTCGTACGCATTAACTGCTCATGGTGATAGCAGAAAAAATCATAATTAATCCACGATATTTTAATCGGCTGGCATCTATTTGACTACAATTAAAAGTCCAAAAGAAATTACAACTCATATACTCATCTAAGACTCTACAACTATGAAGACGGCCAATGTGCTGTACTTGGTCAGGGCGTACCACGTTGGTCAGCGAACTGAAAAACGAGACGTAAATATGGCCGTCGCATTACGTGCAAGTACAAATTGTGACGTAACGATAACGTGAGCCTACGATCGAGGTTTCGTAGTCACACTTGTACACGGATTTGTCGACTATAAAATCATGAATCATGCAGTTCCAGGAATTTTTGTCACTTTAATTCGTTTTTTGACGTATCGAAGTGCAGTAAAGCATTAAAAAAGTCCATGGCGGACTTATGTCACGGTTGGCTTTGGACCGCCTTCATTGAGAGTACCAGAGCTTTCCGGGTGTTCTTGAGATTTGCTTGACTGTTCCACATGTAGCTGTGACACAAACTGAATACGAAAAATGCAGAGAAAGAACTAACATTCAGTGCGTGCTAAGGTTTATATACTCGTTTTAAATATTATATATTTATGACGATGTGATCTGGTAGCGCACCAACACTGATGTACATACAGGGTGTATTTGCATCTCGGTGTCTATTTTCTCGTGTATTGCACTACGGCAGATCGGCTAACGAACTAAAGAACGTTGAGGGAAAATATTACTTAGCTTTGCATTATTTTCAGCATCTATTTGTCGTTTGCTGCGAAATATACAAAAGTAAATAATTGAAGCTTTAAGTATGTACATATAATAAATATCTGAAGTATTCTTGAAATAAAAACATACATATTTTTCACATTTTTATACGTTTTAGTTGATTATATCGATAGGACCTTCGTAGACTGCTGATCTAGATTTCTAATAATCGAAATGTAATTTAAATATAGACATACTTTCCCTCAGAGCATGGAGTGTTCGATTAGTTTAGTCGTCGGTGAATATAAATTACTTTGTTGCAGCGACAAGACCCGAAGAATAACCATTGTTGGACCGTATTATATAAATGAGTTTCGCCTCGTCTAAGTTGTAGGCTCGCAAATGCCCTATACATGTATCACATGAGAGTACATTTACCACATTTTAGGTTGTCAGCTAGGCCGGTATTCCATACCGGCAAAAACCCAATCGATTTTTGATGATTTGGCCTAAATAATTAGTCATACTAAAGTGACAGAAATTCTATTTTAGAACTTGGTAAACAAGACGAAGTACATCTAATATGAAAACATCTGAAAACAATATGGCATATAAGCATATATATAAGCAACAGGACAAAGATGAAACGTCAGCCTTCTGTAGCTTGTCTACAAATATACAATTACAGGTTTCTCACAGGATTCGCATTGTAGAATTATTCAAGTGTAAAACATAACGTTCTATAGGTAAAATCTACATGATAGCTTACTGGGTAACATATTTAGCATAGAGTCAAATGATGGAATGCCTGAAAATGATACCGGACAAAAAATATAAAGGTAAAACTTACTTTAATTTAGTTGGTGATATTGATAGGACCTTCGTAGACTGTTGACCTAATCGAAATGTTTACGGCAGATGTTAAGTGTAAGGAAGAACTTGTCGAATAAAGAAACTAGTACAATTGTGCATTTAGGGCTTGTTGTTTCATATAATTTATACAGGTATAAATGCGATGATAAGGTAGGGTTTTTGGCGTTTTTATTTTAAGTAGAACATGATAATCAATAAAACTTTGGATCGAGATGGATGGCGTGGGTCATCAGCCTCGTAGTCGGACTATTTCGGCTAGCCACCATTAGGTTATTCAACATTATGTACCCATTAATTAAGTAGTGTGTTAAATTAAACGTATGGGAATAAATGTAAGATTAGTTACATTCGATTGATCTTCGAAACACAATCCGTGTAATTGTTGATGTAATTATAATTAATGATTAAAAATTGCTTGGTCACATTTCAAACAAACTATTGGCAATTATTCATATAGAAAGCTTCGCGTTACGTGCGTTTTGTAATATACCTGAAGTACGGAATCAATACCAAACTTAACTGAACTTGCCTACATATTAAGGTGCTTTTTCTCAACGGGAAATACCTAAACTGGCCATTAAGTGTGAGTTTGTTGATGCTTTCGGAAGAAAACGCTGTCTATGACTTAGCAGTAAGATTAATGATTAAGTTGGCGGTGTAGAATGTTAATTATGAACAACCAACAGCAGGGACCTACTTAACTAATTTGGGTTAATTATTCAACCGTTATGCATTGCTTTTAGCACGAAACGAAGTGCGTCGATATTCAACTACAAACCATCTTACGTTTTCCTAAATATGGTATTACTGCACCATTATGAAAGTACAATTACCTAAATTGGCCTATCTTATATGGTAGACCAACGACACAAAACGGTGGCCATACTTTATTAACTTAAGAAAGCAAATAGTCTTTACTACGTATTGAACTGCACGCCAATTGTTTACCATGCTTGATATTCTTAATTTGGTTTATTCTTTGTTGTAATCTGTACTGACATATCATTGCAAAGGCCGAAATATCCAGAAATTATTTACGATTCTGAGTAAGTACAGATGAGTGCCCTTGCATTGAGTTATAACGTAGGTACCGCATATCAAAAAAGTGAAAAAATTTTGCACAGACGTTTGGGTGCACTGATTTAATGGCCTAAAAAATGGGAGGACAATGAAAATAAAAAACATAAAATGCTTTACTTGATCTTCCAGAGGGGTTCAGAAATTCGATTAGCACGTTAGTCTATTTACTACTTCAGTATCAGGGCCAAATGCACCTTTCTTTCCAAAGGTAGGGCTTCATTCACGGACGAGAAAGTGATCGCTTCACCATTTGACCAAAAGAGTACGGAAATTAACAACTCAGGGGACAGCTCTACGACAACGACAGTTTTTTTTGTAAACAACTTATCTTTAAGAATGGCTATCCTGTGTAAATTTTTTGCGCATACTTCTTTGTAAAAGCGCGCAGCAACATCTACACTCGAAAACAATTAGTGTTATCACGTTCGACATATTGACATAGAGCGCACATTTCTCGTAGGCAACAAAAAAAGCCTTTCCTATTGCTCCAACGGAATCAATCGACTGCTATATTAGGTTTTTTAAACTATCTTGTGATCACTGCGAAAGCTTGCGGTTTCCAAAACTCATTGCAGTCCAAGACTTCAAACCCAGCCGAGAAAATCTGTATTATTTGAGTATATATATCTCAGAGATGACGTAACGGCGGTCCGTCAGCTTGGGAGGCCAAGTTTGAATCTTTAGCCATTTTTCGAAAATAATCATGATAATTAATGCAGTCACTTAGAGTAGTCGAGATTGATGGCTTGAATAAGAGCTTCACGCGGCCACGATGAAAAAAAGCGTATTTTGTAAGAGGATATAGCGTTGATTTGTTAATACGATGAGCTAAATGAGGTCTCAAAATATCAAAATGTCTCTGCTTGTAAATAGAAAAAAGGCATACGCATACCCGCTCTGTCTCACTTATGTTTAGTTTCGGGGATCAATGATTATGAAGACAATAACAATACGCCCACGAAGTGTCCGCTGGGATTAAAGTGTACCCAATAGATACAAATGATTTTATTCTGATTTTTTTTTCAAGGTGCCGTTTAAAATTGTCTGTTTTATTCTGTAGTTCTTGCCTGTACACAAAAATCACTTGTATTATTTCAAAACTTGAGGCACTTCCTCGGCTACCATTATATCTTGACCGACAGCAACGTCAAATACATTGCCCACAATCATGTTCACTATCGCGCTTAGCATGCTGTTTTTCTCGGGTTATGCGTACTTGAAATCATTCTCAGAACACAAACAGAATACTGGGGCATATTGGGCATTTTGATTTATGATACGTGCAAAAATTTTTATGGTGTAATCATGGGAAGCATATGATTTGAAAATACGGAATCAGGCTAGCAAAAGGCGTTCAAATAAATAAGGCATTCATTAGACGAAATTTAGCGATTTTTCTAAGGAACCCGTTGTAACATTCTGCTACATCAAAATCTATATAAAAATTTTTGAATTATCCAATATTCATCAAGCAAAAGTATGTATCACATAAGTATTTTATCTGCTTGCTCTGTGGGATCGACTGCCAACGTCATCGCGCTATTTTTCTCTAATCTAGGATATCATGTACAATATAACGATATCCATATGCATATCTCACTGTCCAGCTTTATCTTTCTAGGAGTTGATTATCTAGGTTATACACACGATACCTCAACAAACGATTCTTACTATTGAAGTCAATTGTACTATTGTTGCATTCAACAGACTCAACAAATAACCTACAAATGTGGTGGCGTGGCTGTATTCGAAGAACCATCGCCATTTTCGATATTGGTACTTGTTGATTGGTTGCCACGACCACGATTTATTGACGGTTACTGTTTGACTGGTTTTAACCCAAATACACTGAACCCCTAGTGAAGTTTTTCCCTGCTGCAGTTTCTACTGCGTCTTTTTGCTTATACCGAAAACATCAACAAACGACTGTTGCTGTATTTGTGATTTTCTTTCGCTAGAATATGCAGACAGGAAAACCATAAGTCCTAATTTACTTGATATTATCCGTTCAAATCACTTGATGATATTCCCAGTATCATTTTTTATTTTAGAATGAGAATAAGTTACATCGTATTTATGCCATCTATTGCATGACCTTCTAAATGAGGAGCATCAAAACACATCGTGTGTGACAAGGATGGCTTGCACAAACGTATTGTAGGTATATTGTTTGTAAGCAGTTAAAGTTAGAACTTCATACCATATGAGACCGAAACAGATATTAACAGTGTTCATCGTTTTTCGGCGTTTACATGATCCGAAATAAATAAAGGGATTCATATAATAGGAAACGACTTTAAGCTACGAAAATCTGATTAATTCAAAGCAAAACACCAGCGAAATGTGTGTTTTCTTATAATTTGCATACTTTTTGATTAACACAAAGTATTTTCGCTATAATATTTTGATTTTATTTGGAGTGCGCCTTACCTGCAGGCGAAAAGTCAACGCTCTGAATTCCGAACGACCAAGTGTCACAAACCTTGAATCCATGATCACTTAGATACGCCGTTTTCCAAAGTGCCAAAGCAGTATTTAAAATGACTTAAATGCATCTAAAATATGCGAATGTAAAAGCTATATAGTTCCTATGAATGAGAAGAGTCGCTTTTTATATTTGGAATACACGGCTTAATTTTTGACAGCAAGTTGGTTTTTATTTTATGATTCAGAAGCTACAATTTGAATTGCCTATAGAAGAATATAATCTATCCAGTCGCCGACGATTAATTTTCGTTACCAAAAACTAAATGTATCCACTAACTATTCGATTGTAGCACAGCATACTGCCTACATGTATATGTGTCAATGCGACCCTACTAGGGTTTTGCTCTTGTTGATACGAGAGGCTGCATAATCTCCAGCGCGGCATCTAACTATCCGCACTTAGTCCCACGCTCTAGATGCTAGTAGGAACCATGCCTCCCAATGTCGTTTTTCCTGCTGGATCAATTATTCACGCACCTAAACCTCTGCAACGGGTCGCTTTGCTAGTATGGCCTATCCCGCTATTTTCTCTACGGTGCTGCTCTATTTCCGGCCCTTATACAGTGCTTCACAGCACTAACTCGTGATCGTCGGTAGCAAACGTTAGCGTCGTATACTAACTTCAGTTGACGTCCAGGATCAGACACCCTGTGCAGCCATCCAACGTGGCACCATTATGTGGTGCGGGCCCGCGAGAGAGTTACCCCACCGCCAAACAGCACCAGAACAGTAATCCAAAGATATCAATGCGACAAGGCAAACTAGCCTAACCGTATGGAGTATGGGGTTGGTGGACTCCAACAACTGGGTCTCGAAATGGGGTCATTTGTTTACCCTTTCCCATGGGTTGACGCGCGGTTTGTATGCGGTGGCTGGTAGAGCCGGTGCCGGCAGCTTTAGGATGACACCAACTAACTGCGATACTGAGACTAGTCGAGACGTTTGGTTAACTACCTTTTCCAACGTTTACAGGCTTGGCAATGATCTCCCGAAAACCATTAGTCCACAAGTACATGTTCGATCGGGCTACCGCTAGGGTTGCATCCACTCCAAGTGACCCTTTATCTAACTCATAGTGTGTTTCCACAAGGATAATCGTGGCATTTGTGAGTGAACTCATAGGTGGAGTCAATAAAAAATCAAAAGTGCGTCTTTGCGACTGTTGAGTCTCTTTTACAAACTTCAGTGACTGTTGACTCCCTTTTACAAACCTCAGTGACTGTTGGATTTCTTTGTAACGAAGTAACTCAAACAAACATTCAATCCTACAGTAAGCGAAAAATTACCAGCTGCAGCACTTTGGCACTAGCTTAGTGAAAAGGACTCTAGCGAAGTGTTTTGACGACTACGTGTCAGACGAGCATTTTGGGCAAGATGTCATCTGCAAAAGTAATGTCGGCCAACATCTCAACCCTTGCTTTGCATCGCTTCAACCCACGAGATGCTGGATTCACAGGATCCTGGCGAGAGCTCCCGTTGGCCGCACAAGACATTTTACAGGCACGGGTCTTTGACGGACCCGGCGGCTATGTAAAGCACGACCTTATTTTCCCACGACCACCGCTTCAGGCTGTCGAAGACAACCTAAATAAATGGCATAAAAACATGGTGCAAGATCTTCAGAAGAACTGCGGACGCGTAAGTATTCACGTAAGACGCAATGCGATCTATTTCATAAAAGTACATATAAAGCGATTTACTTATACGATATAGATGAGTGTTGAAAATTGACTAAGCGGCCGATTGGTCATTCAGCATGACCTGAAAACTTTTCACTAGCGACTTCTCGCGTCCCATCAATATGTCGCAAATTGAGTAGACCTAATTTCCATACTATTGTTGGTCATATAGGTATATACCATAACGCAACTTGAATTCACTAGACTTCAGGATCATGGAAAGTTGGACTTGTCGAATTATGTGACATTTTAAATCCGAACTTAATCCCATCTATATCCAATCTTGTGAGAAACAATCAATTTCAGAACTCATATTAGAACAAAAATAGAAGCGCATATTCCCGTCTGCAGCCATGCGCTCATGGAAAACGCACCGAGACTTCAAAAGCATAACGCGCAAAAAAAATTCTCTTTTTAAGCTGGCACTTTGCTATTATATAATATATATTGATTTAGCTTGACTTGATTTCTTACATGCCGATTTTATGATGCCGAACTAATACTTAGACTTATGTGAAACTGTGTTTGCTCCAATCACCTGCTAACTTCACACCTAACTCTGACTCAATAGACTCTGCGCAAGGCAGTCAGAACTTCGATCCCGGACAAAACTCAAACAACAGGACAAAAAAGCTTCGTTTAATGTTACTTGGTGTAGTATCGTCAAAGAAATATTTATTTACCCAAGATTTACGATTAGAGATAAACTTCAATTTGATAATTCAAAGTCGTTTTCCCAAATATTTCCAACCAATATGGACAGCAAGCTGAACACCAGCGTAGATACCCTTGTAAACGTAAATGCGAACTGTAGGAATGCAGAAAGTCGCAGCGAATATTCATGAATGGATTCGCTCGAACATGCATTGCTATTGCATGCGCCAGAACCAAACGTCTCTAGCCAGACTCGAACTAGGAAGGAGGAATAAAAAAGAGGAATGAAAAAGAAATAAAAAAGAAGGAATAAACAATTTTATTATATTATATTTACTTTAGTTCCGATTAAACCCGATAATTTTATTGACTTTTTATAAATTGGAAGGCGTTATTAGGAGAGACCGTTAAAACGTTTCACATGCATGCAACTGAGAATTTCTCCCAACAGAAAACCTTTTGAATAAAATGGGTACAATAAACTTGCTAAAATTGACTGATCTAACTTTGACTGAACCGACAAAGGCTGCTGGAAGCACCGATTAGTCATAAACAATCTGTATTTTTCATTATGGCAATTACATCGGCTAAAGCCACTTGCACCACCTTAAAGTTCACAAGCGATTCGTGTACGTTAAGTAGTTGTCATGTGCCATTGTCTTGTAAATCTGGTTTTAGATTCACGACGAGTCAACCCATGTTAGCTTTGAAAATAAATTAACGCCGGTGGAACAGTGTGCGGAACCATCAGCTAACGATAATATAGAAAATCGATAGGAGCGGGGCGGGCATTTGAAATATCCGAAAGCATGGCTGTATACGCAGAACAAATAAGGGCATCACTTTTCAGACTATTTCCTCCATAACAAACCGAAGTCTTGAACAGAACCAGCGTTGGAACGATCTAATGGAAAAAAGGCAGCAACGCCTAGAAAATGGTATTCTCTCTGTATACTCTCAAGGAACTCTATCGTTAGTTAATGTAAGGGATACACTTATAGAAAGGTACATATAACGTTTAGACGATGCCTATTATGAGTAAATTCACTACTCACGTCTTTAGTAAAATAGCTAACACCCTAATAATCAAATAGGTTAAATAAGTCAGGTTGAAATGGATGATTATCTCTGACTGCAGCCGCATTCGTCCCGAAAGATTACGCAAGTAGAAACTAAACATATTTCAGTGATAATGAGACTTCGCAGATATGCACGAGGCCGTGTTCTTTGAATAAGCGAATAGACGGTATTGACCAATTTTAACTACATTTCAGTTCCAGATACATCTCGGAAGTGATTACCTGGCATATTTAGTAAAACGCATCCAATTATTTCAGTCTGTGAAATCCATGTGCGAGATAAGCATTTGTAAGATCTTCAGAGACGCAACAACGAACAGTGTACTAAAGGAAAGAAACGATAAATATAGCACGGTATATAAATAATCTCATTGCTTGTAAAGCAAAGCTTGAAGTGCGCACGTCCATTATGCAGGTATGATTATGCAGGTAGCTGTTAGTAATAGTTAGTAAATGCCAGGGTTGTAATTTCAGCCTTTATAGCTAAGTACTAGACAAACACGGTAGGACTCGAACCAGTGTAACAAGCCTTCAGAATACGTTAGATGAATATAGCAGATCTAATATTTACTGCGTCTTCCAAAATCACTACTACTAGTGTAGCAGTATTAGTATTGTACATGGCTAGTTCTCGAATTCGATTGAAATCTTAGTTCTTTCCGATTATTTCAAAAACAATGAGTTATAGGTAAATGGTTTTATCAGGAAAATTGTACGTCTTTTTAGTAGTGCTAAAAGGGGCTCGATCGTTTATCTAAAAAACCGATTAGACAGTGAGAACCTTATATATTTGGTTGCCATAAAGAATCCATAGCACCAACTTAGCATATCTATCAATTCAAAGTTTTCTTTTTTCGTTTTTCTAGAGCACTTCACAGAACCTTAAACAGGATACTCAATATGAGGTAATTATACAGAGTTTCGATCTCTAATATATCGCTTATCATTTAATGTAGTCGTACGCAAGGAAATCTAAATCATTTTGGTACCAGAGGATACGTCTCATAACGATACACGACTTTTAGACTAAAGGTATTTCACTCTAAGGTAATGCTCTCATTAGTATATGTTTGTGCAGTAAGGCATTACATAGCCCTGCTACCAATCTACAGTGAAAGATTTCTTAGAACAACCCCGTAGCGACAAGTAGCTGGCACCACGCAAAATAGAGGAGAATAAAAAAAATAGCCCAAGGTCGCATATAACTACTTATATCAACGGTATACACATTCGTACATGGTATCCACGGAGGTAGCCGAAATGCATTCGATCCAATTAGATGTAGATGATCGTAGTCCAATAATAGGTTCATCGATATTTTTCAGTCTACAGACACCGTACCGCTGTAACGATAAAAGCCCAACACAGTAAACTGGCACCGGCGAAATTATACGACACATTCATTCAGAGATGGTCGAACATATTAGTACACTGTCGTAAGAATCCTGGGATTGCTGCTACTGTAATGTATATATCTCCCATGGTTATATTACATGGATACAAAAAAAATGTTTCGCGCTCCATTGATCTGGAGAGATCAGGGACATCTGCATATACCTGCACAACTTCATAGTGTAACTCTCTCGTCGTCGTTCGCCCAATATACAGTCATGATGCGTACGTATAGACACGTTCTGTCCAGTAACGATCCTTTCTCCTGTTATGTATGGGATCGTGCAGCAAAATATTTCCCAAGGTTCCCTTATACTTGGCGTCGTTATCCAGCTTACAGCCAGTCCTTTTGCTTGGCTAAACTGTCTGAGCGCGTATACAGCAAGAGACTTAACGTAACGCCTCTATCTTATGCTGTACCTGCTTGCAGAGCCAGGTTGACATCACTGAATTTACAGATAGGGAGTTGCTACGTAGAAGCGTTTCAACGAAGCCCGTGATTTGCGTTTGGTTCAAGTCATTTCCATGAAATCTGGTCTCGCAGAGGGTATTCCCATCGAGCTCTGGTAGGGGCAGTGACTCAAATAGGGAAAGGGGTAGGGTGCAGCCAGTGTGGTTATCAAGTATTGGTGTTTCCGTAAAACCCAATTTGCAGTCCAACAAATAGGAATTGCAATGAATCCGTCGAAATTATGAAGAACCCCACCGATTTCTATCTATTCGTCCAGACTCCGTAACATCTGAACAACTTGTTGATTAAACACTGTTGAGGCAAGTTCTGTGTGTGTAAAAAGTGGTGTATTAGTATTGAAAATTAGCGTTCGGTTTCTTTGTGGAAGTCTTATAGGATACCAGACAAAAAACCTGCTTACCCGTTGAGACTGCACGTGGGTTATTGCTAGAATATTATTGCTTAAGCTAAAACAAAAAAGGAAATATAATTTTAGATCCATGCAAGATGGTCCAATTTGGTCCCTCGGTGAGCGTGTGGAGTCCAGAAGATGAACAAATGGCCTTTGTGCCGTGTGGTATTGTGTATAAACGGCCGCTTAAGACAGAAGTAAGTTCCGCGCATGCAACGATTACTTATTTTGTTACTTACCGTTGTTACAAACCGAGTGAGTTGTTCGCATCTAATAACAATGGTTTTCTTACTGCGAATAAAATCCATTACACCTAAAGACTATGGTAGGTTAAGCATTTTTCAATGTAAATAAAACATAGAGGTATGAAGTAAATTGCTAACTTCGATTGTACGATGCTTTTATTTCATTTCTACTATTTTATGAGTTCATAGTGATGACTTGTGAATATTTTAAGTATCTGAATGAAAAAAAGCATGAAAGAATAATTATCCTAGTGTACACATATATGTAGAGAAGCAGATATTAAGTTTTACTTTCTATTCAAAAACTTAATATCTGCAAAGTACTTTTGCGCTCAAAACCTACTTTGAATAACCAATATCATTTCTAAATGAAATCCATAATATTTTTTTTAATCTATTTGAGATAGTCCATTGGATATTTCAACGGTTAAGTTTTAACATGCCCCGTTTAATAACGGTTAATTTTTTCTTATTAAAGAGATGTTTTATAGTTTACAAAAAATCTTATTTTTCATATATATTGACTAGAGTAATTTGTTGCATTTTCTACATGGGCGTGCAGCAGACAGAAATGTGATTATCACCAATGTGCAAGAATTACAGGAGTTATCCTGTAGCTATCGGTCCTTGGCCTCAATCGCTGTGCGACCCTAGGAAACTTGGCCGGCCTGCTCGGTCAGTCTGTTAGGTTCCAACCGGATGCACTCAAAGCACGACGCCACTGATACACTCCGAGAGTCTCCTTCGGTTGGCCAAAACGACGCCCCAATCGAACCCCTCTTCGGTCCCCCCATCTGCTTGCCGTGTCGCTTGTTTAGTTCCATTGGTGCGTCTGTCTCCCCGAAAACAGGGAAAATGATTGTCGGTATTTAGCAAACGATCTGTATTTAACGTGTGTGTCTTTGGCGTACATCAGTCGCAGACAGAGCCATTATGACGAGATTTCCAACTCTTACTGTTATAGTTTTGTTTAGCCGACGTTCACTCATATAGGGCTACATTGCAAATAAAAACACTAGCAAATTCAATGGCCCATCAAAGAGAAAAACCTAAACGTCAGCGTAGTTAAAAGGGGTTCAAAATGTATGTTGTTGGCGAGATCTTCTCAAACTATATTGTGTTTTTGGAGACAGCGTCGTGTCATAACTAATATTTGAAGATTAACAAAATTAATAATTTTTGAAAGATCGAACCTATGACTTATCAGATCTTTATTGAAGGTTTTGCCGTATGCCAGGCCAGTATATTTTCCTCGATTTTTCATTTCAATAATTTTTGACGTCTAAATATATTGACACGTACTCTAAATTTCTGTATAGAAGATAACAATAGCCCACGCACTGTGAATGCTGTACAAAAAGCTGTCCTTGGCAATCAGTTGTCTACTAAATTAACTATTAAGTGACCTCTAAAGTTGGGAGCCAACGGTACGCTTGGATGCTACAGTTCGACTCGACCTTTATCTAGACGTACTTATCAGTTCATGAATAGCTTACAAAAACTAGGATTACTACATATCAGGATTATGAATAAACGGGATAGAGGTTTTGATTAGACTACAATAATAATAATCAAACAATTTGGCTGAAGCTATTTCTGTGAAATTACAAGACCACTTCTATCTATATAATCGTCCAGTTCATACTTCAATGCGGATCCAGTGTTACTTCATTTGTATAGATAGCAGCGCCCTCCATGGCCTTTAAGGGTAGTAATGTATAAAACTGACCTCATATCGTGCTTGATGTGACCGCGTAGTGGCGCCACTTCATTGACTTCCACAGTTCTTAAATAACTTATATTTTAACCATTGGAAAAAAGTAATGGTAATAGTAATGATCCAAAATATATTGATCTCTTAATTAAATTGACTAGACATATTATCAAGTAAATATAACTATAATTGTAAGAGAATATAACCTGTTTGAACTAAGTTAGTGAATGAAAGTTAAGTGAATAAGATAAATCTGCAATTCAACTGCTTGAGGGTCTTGAAAAATCTTTGTCAACGTTGGTTCTTGGAAAAAAAACAGATGAAAATGGTCAAGCTAAGACTAAACTAAGGAAAGATATTTCAATATTTGCTTATTCAAGCAACTACAGGCTAAGCAAATGTATTTATTGTTTCATAAAACTGTACAGATGATTACCTCATATGTATGGCTTATCGCATTTATAAATCGATTCCTTATACTTTTCAATCGTCACTTTTACAACATAGTATCCGAACTGCCTGATTTTGTTGTCACTTCTACAGTATAGGGAATGTTATTCTCGTCCATGAAATAGAGCTGATGACCGATTTCTGGAGCACCTCAAATCTGTGAAAATTGTTTCTATAATTCAGACGTTTCAGTACTGTTATTCATATTGAATATGTGCACATAACACAGATACTCGACACCTTACTTTAGATATGAACAACATCTGCCACGGCCCAAATATTCAGTGCTTTCAGCGAAAATAGGTCAAGATAATTTCGTCAAATATAAATACAAATAAACTAACCGAACATTCCAAAACAATACCACTAATGTTTGATATATACATATGCCTACTGGGTCGTATGATATTGTGATACTGTAGGCCTCTTCGTGACGAACATTTTGAGGTCTCATCCTTTCACTTCACCTCATAAATCACTATAAGGTGGTTAAGGAGACACGAAAAAACTACTATATATGATTACAAGGGAGATATAGCCTTAGCGAGTTTCGGTCCCCAGTCGTTTAACCGAGAGCATCTTCACAGGCTTCAATTTTAGGTTTTTTTTCATAGTTCTCTAAAACAGGCTGTCTTGTCAAGGTTCTCGTCGATATCAGCTGATGTCTGCCGGTGCGCCAAAACATAGACATTTGCAAAACTGCATATCATTTCACCTTTTTCTTAGATCCTGCCGGAAAGGCACCTGCCGAGTATACAATTTAACGTTGTTTCTCAATTAGGACAGATATTTCCTTAATATTGAATTATGTAAGTGAATCATCATTAATTAATTATATTCACTAGTGAGATCGGAGTTGACCTGCAGCTGATTACTTTGAAACGATGACTACAAAATGTAGATTTGTGTTGTGACATGTGCTTAATATTTGTTGTCTCGAATGCGGCGTCCTCAAAAAATCAACAAAGCTTTCTTACATAAAGAAAGTTGGCTTGGAGCAGTTAGTACCATGACGCACAGTAATCGAGAAGAAGAAAATATAAATAATAATACAGCTGACACAAACGGTGACGTGTAGGCGAAAAAAATAATGTGGAAAGATTGCGATTTTTTTTTTATTAATATCCTGAATATATCCATGGTGTAACATAATCGCCAAAAGCAAAGACAAGCATTTTTGCTGCCCCTGGTAATGCAAAACCCTCTAATAGCCTCGTTAATAGTCAATCATCGACTAACTCGTTTACTTAAATAATGCGGCCAAGAGATACTAACTTTGCTTGTTCAACGGGGTAGCAGCAATTCTAGATCTTGAAGGTGCGCGATTCTGTCGTAAGGTCGAAGCGTTCACCTGGAATAGAAGCAAAGGACGACACGATTAGTATTATCTTTTTTATTAACTTAATAGGTATTATTATATAGTATAGATGGGTCAGTAATTCGTAGTCAATCCAAACAATCGCGAAACAATTGTTTTGCTTCTGCTTTTAAGTTTTGTGAACTGATCAAGTTTTGACGATAAATGAAAACAGCTTTTTAAAAACACCAAGTCATATATTTAGAGTCGAACTTGGCTTCCATATATATAGGACTACATAATCTGAAACTCAAGAGGCGCAGGATTCCTTATTGTACGGCTGTGTATTTTGTGTAAACGTTGATACACACACTGAAAATTATTCGAGTCATCCAACCCGTCTAGGTTAACTCAGTATATTATAGATGGACGTCTCGAGATATTTTCCAGTTTGCCAGCAATTCCTGATTACCCTGCATGTACCACAAATCATATAAAACTTGGGTAGAGGATGAATTTATTCCTTGTCCTATATTCATGTTAATTGTAGTTAAATCTCTAAAACGAAAATACTTGTGATCCTCATGACAAAATGCAGGGGTACCTCTTCAATGCCTTAGTTTAATTGCCCTCTAAATCGCACGTAGAAAGCGTTCTGTATTCGCTACCAAAGTAACGTTGTTGGCTTGTTTAATTTTGGGCTTTCAATAAAGCGACCAAATATGTTGGCAAAAATATTCGAAATGAAAGTACATAGGCCTTGTGTAGATCTAGTCGGTAATCAGCACAGGTAGTCACTCCGTGGAATCATATCTCATGATGTATATATGTGACACACGATTTCTTGACATCTTGGAATGAAGGCTGTCTTGTATTGTATGCTGACTTCTAATGGAAGTGGCATATTCTACCACTACCAGATTAATTAGTAAACCACGCAGAAAAATAATTCTAATGTATCTTCAAAACGGGACCGAACAGCCATGTATATGTTACCTTCGCTGATCTTGTAGAAGTGTTTGATGCCTTCGTCCTTGCTGTTGTGCGATTGAGTGACGCGCTGAAATTTTTTAAATACAAGGTGATTAGGTAATTTTAACACTCTAAAAAAAACGCTTGGTGTTTTTATAAAAGCTTTTCCAAAACTTCTTTCTATATGTAAGTTAAAAAGCGGCTCTATAAGAACAAGTTTTTAAAACCTCAGAGGATATCACGATTCTAAACTGAATTTAATGTGAGCTTGCCACCAAATATAGAGTAGATAAAAAAATTTCAAAGTGTGTACACTATTCCTATCACCTTGTCTTTAGAATTTTGCGTAAGTTTCCTGGAATAGCGTTATTTTTCCTATCAGGGCTTCGATTTTCATAACTTTTCATTGATTCTTCCAAAGCTGCAGCAAATGGTTCAGGACTGAAAAAGAAACAGACACTCATTACAAGACTTTCTCGCTGAATAATGGCTTGGATGTATACAGGTTGCTTGAAGAAAAGTCATTATTTATAAATATGAGTACAGCTAACATCACAATTAATCCGACAGATGTTTTATCTACCTAATACGTACTTCGTAGCGAGAACCCCGAAGTCGCCAAGAGCGTCCATTGGCAGTTTGTCTGCGTCATCCCGAAGAATATATAGAATGCGTTGCAGCGCTGCTGTTCGATCCTGAAGGACTTTCAGAGCCCGAGCTTGCTCCTCTGCGATCTTTGGGAGCGATTCGATCACCTCTTCGAGCTGTGTAACAAGAAACAATAGGAGAAGAAACAACGACGTACGAAAGCATGGGTAAACGAAAGTGGCGAAAAAGAAATCATACCTGTGTTTTTTTAGGTCTCTTTCGCACTCTACCCAAAAATAGAAAATCCTATGGTCATATTTGTTTCACACATGAAATCGGTCTCGTATTGATTTAAATGAACCAGAAAATCGAAGAAGTTCAACGAGTAAATCTTGCCAGTACATGTATTTCAATGCAATACATTCAATTCAGTATTATTACAGTTATGATTCTTGTTTAATTTAATCTGAGGTTTAGCATTTTGGTCGCAATACAAACATGTTCGATGGCAGTGGTTTTGGCTTTACCACGAAGCTTGCTGAAGTCGAGTGCCTCTGAAGCAGCTCGGGCTTTGCTCTCTGGTTTATTTACTTTTAGATGACCGGAGTTTGGTACCGTCGACGGACGGAGCACCGACATATCTAACATGGTCAGCTCAGGCCCCCGAGGCATCTTGCTAATCTTTTTTAAACTTCCGTTTTTCACTGTGTAAGAAATTCATTAAACTTAGTAAATATTGCGAAAAATAGCAGCATCTATAAAGTAATCATGTTTTCGTTAAGACACGTTTTTTAGTCAAATAATACCACTTGCTAAATGATTTGGCCTAATCTCAGGCTAGCAAACATTTTAGACGAAATAATAGTGAATATTTTTTAACTCATTCTGCTGACGTTGTCTACATAATCATGAATGAAAAATTGTAGTACTAGTATTTTTCAAGGTTGTACGGAAATCGACTTTGTGCTGGAAGGTCTTATATGAATAGACACGTCTAGGCTTTCACAGAACAGATTACCTATCAGGGCTCCAGGTGAGCAGAATTTAACTAATTAGTATAATGTTTTTCTTGAAAGTTGCTGATCATATTCAAAAATGACGCTCATAGTTTCTGCTTAAAGTACTATTCTATCGTGTGTACAATAACATGCGCATAGCTATATAACGAGATAACGGTCGGCATATTGGAACGTCTTCGTGTTCAAGCTAGTGTCCTCTGCTAAAACTAGTATGAATTTAGACAAGAGTGGCTTCCCATTGAGTCCAGCCACCGGACCAAACAAGCACAGTTTATATCTGTGTGCAGTGTTGAACATAAATTACACTTCTTAACAGTTATCATTTTTCGGTTATTAGAACTACATAGGATAATCGTTAATCATTTGTGGGCTGTCTCCAGCAGCACCTATCCAACCCTTCTGCTGAAGATAGCCGTTGGAAGAGCAACAGGCTAATAACTGTCGTATTCAAATTCTTCCAAAATGATTTTGTCTCAGCCATCACTCGCTCAGACGAATCTAATTAAATCACGTTTTGTACAAATTTACGCGTAGACTTACAACAACCGGTTTCGACTAAACTCAACAAAATAAGGACAAACACACTGAAAATTTGTTACAGAACAAACTGACATAACTGAACGAGCAGCCGCCAAAAATTAATAAACACATTAAGAGCAGACGACATTAGATAAAATTACCCGGGAAAACTTAAGTGGTAGCTGCTTGTTGCAGGCACGCTCACGCAACACAGTGTCTTTATCATATATATCTGTTGAATATGTTCCGCCACGTATTAACTTTACAAATAAACAGTGCATGGTAGCCATCGAGGCAAAATGTTAGGTAGTTAACTTCTGTTCAGTGGAACAAATCGCTTGGGTCATTGTATTTACCGTCGAAAAGCATTCTTTGCAAACATATACTTGCTTCGAATATTTCGTAAACTGGTTAGTTTAACGCGGAAGACCGACTGTTTTTTGGAAGCCAAATTCTTTTTAATGGTGATAATTTTACAAAATATCGCCGCAATTGTCATTATTTCAGAAACCAAGAATGATCAAGTTTGTCCACACCGTAAATCATGAGATGATGAGGCAAGAACCCAATCTCTTCATATATGTGATTTCACACATTAATTTTCTGCCAGCTAACAAATTTACGTAAAATAAAGTTTCCAACTGTTATTTTAGTACTTACCTTGCGGCAAAACATTCATGCAAAGTACGCTCTATATATCGGCTGTTAGTGTTACTAGCTTTTTACTATTTATTGGTTCGTGTTTAGAAATGTGAGTGTACTACTGATCGTGGTCAGCACATATTAAGATAGCAAGGTATGGCTACGAGAAACTTCCGAGCGAGAAACGCGGTTGGGGTTTTTGGGCGGTTACGGTTTTATATTGGTTCGTCTATTACTGAAATTAAGTTGTTTAAATGAAGGCGCAGCGAAGTAAGGGAAAAGTTGATCAAAAGCGTAATGTTTAGTCGCGTGCCAACAAAATTCTATCCACCCTGTCTCTGTTCATGTTTATTGTTCTTTGTCAGGTATCTACATGGTCAGATCTATATCGACGACCGTCCGGCTTCTTCATTTATATTGTAATCCGTTCGAATCAATGCATCGACGCACAATGCTCCACTGATCCATGATTCAATTTGCGCGGTTTGATCTTTCATGGTATACAGTATGCTTTCGGAACGTAACGTCACACTTAATTACAACGTTAGCGCGGCTAACTGGTAAGCATCAGGTGTCCCGTCGCTGTTCATATCGTGTATCATTGAACAGCAGCGTAGATGTGTGTTCTATGTATACACAATCATTTTGGATAACCTGCTGCATTTGCTATGGAATATACCATCAAATCACTCACATAATTCGAGTCAGGGGCATGAAACCGATTTACCTCAAAGATTGATCTAAATCTATGGCTTATCCCCAAAAGCCAGAAGCTATCTACCAATTTTACGTCCTAGCCTTGGTGGCTATAGCAGTGTACAACTAAACAAAGTGATGTACACAAATTCGTTGCAAGCCATAAATGACTTCGGAAGCCGTGGCTAAGTAATTTATTTATTAATATGATCTGAATAAAACAGTGATAAAGCGCGCATTACGGAGTCAACAAAAGTGGCGTTTATAGATAGAGCCGTACTTTTCTTCTCTTTTTAGTAAACTAATAGAAAAGTCTTTCTGGCACTTTTTTGTGAGCCCGACTCAATACGTCTTATTGTCGCTAACATTTTAGCTTTGTCATTCTGGATGCTGTAAGGGTCGGTTTGAATGCTTTGTTGTACTTAATTAAAATCAGTTGAGATCGTGGGAAACTTCGTCCTCGAGAGCGAGAAGACTATTTCTGAAGAGTTCCAAGCTCGATGTCCGATTTCCGTATATCCATCTTTGCGGGAAAGGACAACTGTACGTTTTTCAAAATTCAGCTGCAGTAAAGCCTCGACTAATAAGCCTTTTATTTGCAAAGCCGAAGCAGCTTCCATTCTATGTTTAAGTATTCCTGTTACGCGGTTACTAAAAACCCATTACTTCTGATAAATTATCTGCAACTTGTCATTCACTTGTTGTTATCAGACGTAATCACCATGGTCAACTGCATGTTACTTTAACTAGCTAATTCTCGTACATTGCTGGTGTTGATATGCCCTCGTTCGGTACGACATGTACACGTTCCTCTTCTGTGAGCTCTGAAATACATTTCAAATCTGATGGCCCTAGCTCATAGAATCCACCGTAGAAATTTCTACAATTCGAGGTATCGAGTTGGAAATAGATGAAACGATAGAACAATGATTGTAAAGAATGACTAATAAAAAGGGTTTTTTACAAGGGCAATACGATCTCCTGTGTCCACTCATCCTCCTTCGTCACCCTATTACGAAAGGTCTTCATCTTTGTATGCTTTCAAACGTCCGGGAAATGAAACTAACACCGAATGGTGCCGAGGGGCGGGACAGAAGGTAGTCTGGCGTTTGGCAGTCACGTCGCGGGCGTGGCGGAATGAGCTAACTCGTTAGCTAGCTTACTATCGATGCCGCAAAACCGACTCGTTCTACGTCCATGCGTAGTCCGTTCTACCCTGGTCACGCAGTGAGAACTTCTCTTCAAAGATTGTTTTGCACCGGGAAGGCCACTACTCCCTCGTTTCCGCTCTCCACAGGTCAGGCTGAGCATAACGTGTCCGCTCCTGCTATTGCTATCCGCCTGCAGTATTTGGTAGCACTATAGGGAGTGCCACGGCGCTTCGGTACCTACCGCAGTATAAGCCGAGTTAGTAGCCATATTGTGGGCACTCACGTCTGCAGGCTCATTCCAACCGGTCCTTTCATTGAGGTACGGCTATGCTCCTCTACGTGTTGCTTTACGTGCTGTGTTCTGGATCACAAAAGACATCCGTCCTTCCAACCTTCGCGAGCATTTTCACGAAGGGCAAATTTCCGTCAAGACGGGCACCGGTTGAAGCAGGATTTCTTTATCACGTTTTTCGATTTCGCGGAGCTTAGCTAGGAACTCTCAGCATGACCGCACGATAAGCGCCGACATTATTGGCAAGGTTTCATAAGTGTCGATTTAATGAGTGTAAATCGTAAAGTGGTTCTCTGCTTCTGTCAGAGGTTGAAAGCTTCAAGAAAAATTTTATTGCAATCTTTAGACGCTTATTAAACGAGACACAGTTCATATGGTTAGCCGTTTCGCAAGGACGCCTCAAAAGCTTTTTGCCTAGTAAATAGATGGATAGATATTACAGAGTAGGATACAATAAACACAGTGAATACTGCACCGTTTGTCGAAACGACTGGCGTTGTGAGCAGAAACGTGATTGTTACCGAAAAAAGTTGTAGAGAGGCTACATCTGAAAGATGAATCTAACGGATTGTTAAAAGACTATCGTCGTATCGAAAAACACCTTTCAATTAATCAGGGTTCCGGAATCCCCCGATCGCCAGATTTGAGAGGAAAACAACTATTAAAACCATCTTTGTTTTCTGGTAAGTGGATCTGGCAAGCAAGTAATTAGACACAAGGACTTGGCCTGGAACTGAACGTCTATTGGATGCTGGCGTTTAACATATGATCACACACATTAAACATTATATACATAATTAAGTTACTAACTACAGTCACAAGTATGGGGTAAACGCTACTCACTTGTAACTATGCTATAACGCATATTCTAGCTCCGTTTTTGAGGTGAAAGAACGACTTCATACGTGAACTAACATCATAAACTGTTTGTGTTCCGGTAGTTATTTAATTTATAAAGGCTATGAAATTTCAAAATTGAGTCTGTGGTAGATAACCTGTCAAAGAATTCCCGATATAGCTGGATATTTTCTTTTTTTTTTTTTTTTTTGTTTTTATCTACAGCCATGTAAGAATGAGCAATTCATTAATGAAACTTCTGACTTCAAGGTGAGCCTTTCCTCGATGTTAGTGGCATGGGCTAGCAATAATAATCCCTTCATTATTAAAATATGAGACAAAATATTTATGAAATGTTTATTTAAATTTAAGTAGACGGCGTTAGAAAATCACTTAAAATATGATATGTCATTTTATTGCTCGTCAGATTCCGTGGGTTGCAGTCACCAAATATCCATTTATCAAGCTTCGTTATGGTAATTTTTGCCATTGAATGTTATTGGATATTGCTTTTTAATAAGCCGCTAAGTGTCAATCGCTTTACCAACCACGTATGCACTATGTGAGATCATTGATGCGCAATATCTACACCCAAAGTATGAGAATAAAAGTCCTTTCAATAATTTTTTAAGCAAATATTTTTTACGAGATCTAAAACCAAAAGTAGTAGCATTTTTGGCACATGTATCATCATATCAGCGTAACTTCTTGTCATTAAATTCAGCCCCACTTCGATAATCTACGCATCTATGAGAAATATGTTTCTTGTTCACATATTTTTATAAGCCAAATACAAAGCAGCTAAGCTATAGTGCATCTGCAGGGGTATAGGTCACTTGAAGGTATTGCCTATTTGTGCTAGTCAACCCATACGCGAGTGACTTTTCGCATGAAACCCACTTCTAGCAAAGCAATCTCCCGCATCGCTCCAATTCAATGGACGCCGGCAATGGGCCGGCTACAAGAGTCGGCTGGGATCATCAAACCATATCTTTTTTTACTATATTCATATCGAATTTGACGTAGCATACGGCGTACTTTACATACAACTGCACACTATGTAAGTACAGCGATTCTCAATATGTAAATCGGGCTCCTCGATTGTGTGTCGAGCTTGTATATTACCTATGGCTGAAATTGCCTCACAGTGGTGATTTCTAAAATATCGTATACACACCTTCAGCATACTATAATGATATTTTCCGTACGCATTCGAAATAAATCCCGTTACTCCTCTAAACTTTGCTCTCTTCGAAAAACGACTCTAAACAGAGCGATTTGAAGTACTGCCACTTAATCGATTCGACATTTTCAAAAAATCTCGTTTTTCTTAATTCACTTAACCAATATACAATATTTTATAATCCCTAATTTTTTTTTTGAAAAAGTAGATCTTCAAAAAGTGTATGTTCGCATCAAGTCTCGATTTTTTTTTAATTTTTGAAAAAATCAATTAAAATCAAACCAGTCACGATTTATGGGAAAAAC